CCAGCAGGTCCTTCCTTGCTTGCCGGCTTGCTGGTGCTCCTGTTACACCTGTGTTCTTTGCCATAGTGATAAGTCTTGCAATGACATTTTTTGTTTTGTTTTGTTTTTGGCAGTACTGGGGATTAAACTTGCTAGGCAGTTGCAAGTGGTAACTTGAGCCATACCCCAGTCCTTTTGCTTTTAGTTTTTCTTTTTTCAGATAGGGTCTCAACTCTAACTTTAGTTAGAGTTAGGGTCTCTAACTTTGCCCAGGCTGGCTTCAGACCTCAATCCTTCTACCTCCACCTCCTGAATAGCTGGGGTTGCAGGCACACACAACCACACCTGGCTTGTAATGACTTTTAATCCTTTGTTCCCTCCTCTGAACTGAGCAGTCTGTGATGTAGGAACCAGAGTAATAGAGAACTCAGGGATGCTTGTCTTGCTCACAACATAGTCTCAGGGTTGTGCCCAGGGTCTGGCCTGTGGAAGGTTCTGAGCGTTGTTGAATGAACATGGGCACAACGCCCCTCATTGGGGCTTGTGGTCTGTGAAGTTGAAGTTCTTCATGGCTAACAAAGTGGAAGCTCCAACAAGTGTGCCTTCAGGATAGCTGGTGGGAAGGCTGTGGGAAGTGTGGTTGGGGGGGGGGGTTGGACATTGAGCAGGGTGGGGAGTCAGGCTCCAGCACTGACTGGGTGACTGAGGGCAGTTACCAACCTTGCTACCTCATCTGGAAATGAGGGCAGGACAACCAGCATGTGGAAAGCTGGGGGCATCACCAAGGTGACTTTTAAGTGCCCAGCATGCTCCCCCACCCAGACTGGGTGTTCAGGAGCTGCCAGTTGCTGTATGACTCTCAACACCATAGGGTGACACAGCCTCCAGAGTAGCCCACCTGAGCGGCCTGGCATCGGGCAGGCAGGACCTTGACACAGCACTACCCCAGGGGACTGGCTCTTGGCCCCTGCCTGCCCACCTCCTGATATACAGCGGGCATTAGGCCGCCCAAAGGGGATACTGCATCCTTAGGAAGAAATATGTCCTCATTTTTCTTAAACACCGTTTCCACTGAGTGAAATGTTTAGAAGGGACGCGCAGGGAGAACTTTATTTCCTACCAGGGAGTTCAGAGCCACCAAGCAGAGCCCATAAAGCACCCGGAGCCTGGTAGCTGACAGGCAGCCTGGCCCTGAAACACATTACTCACTGATGGGGAGGGGCTGCCAGGCTTGCCCAGCCCCCTGGGACTGCCCCTGCCCAGGAGAACAAGCAACTCCAAGACCCAGGGCTATGGATGGTGGGCACTGAGCCCTCCTCCCCTTGAGCCCAGGCTACCTGCAGAAGATGGCCAGGCCCTGACCAGGTGAGAAAGGAACAGTTCTTTCAGCTTCCCCCAGCCCTTTACCTCCTAGACCAGGGAGATCAAGGGACACAGGGCCCAGGTGCAGCTCCAGGAGCCCCCCTTCCTCACCCAGAACTGGCAGAGCCCTGGTCTTGCCAGCCTTCGGAGGGAGTGATGAGATTCACGCCGTGCTGGGCCCTTCTCCCGAGGCCCTCCCTTCATTCGATTTCTGAAGCTGGCTGATTTGAATATTTATAAATATCAGTAAATTATTTATTGTAGCAATCTGCTGCACCATTTTACCCATCGCAGTTAACACTTTAGGGGGCTCTATGTTATGGGAACAGGAAGTGGGGGTGAGAGGAAATGGGATAGGGCAAGAAAGGAGTTCCTGCAGGGAGGCCTGGGACCTCCCAGAGGAGCCTTAATGGGGACACACCAAGCCCCAGCTTTTGCGGGCTCTCAGCAGGGTGTACTCAGGCTCTGGAGTGTCTACAACTTCAGGATCAACTTCCTCCTCTATCAAATAGGGTACTAGTACCTGCTCAATTGGGTCAATAGAGGCTTTTATGAGATCCTGACATAAAGGTGGCCAGTCTGTGCCTCTCCTTCCCCCACCCCTAGAAGGGTCTACTCAGCTCCAACTGCCAGTGAGGGCTTGTTGAGTTTGGAACCCTGGTAGGAAAGCTTTGGAACCTGGGGAGCCAAGGAGTAGCTGCTTACAGGGATGAGGGGAAGGGCTGCAAGGGCAGCCACTGGCCTCCTGCCTGTCCTTTCCCCACTGCATCTCCTAGGCCAAGTAAGATTGCCTAACCTTAGAATTTTGAGCCAGATGTGGTACCATATCTGTCTGGTGTCCCCTCCCAGGACTCAACTGTCTTTTCCCAGGTCCTTGCTTGCCAGGCCCTGTGCTTGGCACAGGCAGGCACCCTCTCACCTTATAGTCCTGCAGTCCTTCTAGAGGGAAAAAGCTGGCCCGGGCCTGGAGCCCACTAAGGGCAATGCCAGGCCACGTGCTTACAACTTTGACCTCAGGGGCTAGGTCATAACCTATGCTGTGCCACCTCCTGGGGTTTACCCTGACCACTTCAGAGCCCCTGGGGTGAGAGAGGCTACCAGGAGTGCAGAATGCTGAGCTAGGCCCACCTCACCTGCCCCTCCCCACCCCAATCTGCCCATCCCTGGGTAAGCAGAACAGGAGTCCTCTTGCCTTCCCACCGTCCAACCCAAGCCTGCCTCCTGGGCAGTATTGTTCCCAGAGGAAGTGTCCAGTGTAAATAGAGCAGTGGGCAGGCTGGTGGTGGGAAGGAGATGAAAGGGGCAGTGACAGGGCCGGGGACGGATGGCTTCCTTCCATTGAGGCCTGGCCACGCCGTTTATGTTTTAGGGAAGAAAGTCAGAGGAATGTTTACATGGACAGGAGTCTGGGGTCAGACCATGGGGGGTGGGTAGTCTGTAGATCCTAGTGCCTTGATGGAGGGGTTGGCAGCAAGACCCCATGGGGTGGGCCAGAAGGCAGACGGGCAGGCAGCTCAGCCCTCAGTTTTATACATGCCCCTTCCCACTGCCCCAGCCTCCACACATTGGCACTTATGACCATAAGCCCTACCTGTGCCTCTACCCGTGTCCCAGGCCCAGGCACCTTCTCCCTTTCCACCCTTAGGACCAACAGTAGAGTCAGAGGGAGGGCAACATCTGGAAGGCAGGTGGGCTGGGGCAGAGTAGCAGCTGGAGGGCAGGTGTAGGGGGAATAGTCGGCAGGAGCAAAGGGGTCTGGGGTTGGGGGTGGGACCTGGGTGCACAGCTGCATCACAGCTGGTGGGGGGCCAGGCAGGGACTGAACCAGCACACAGCCAAGATCAGGAGAGGGTAGGCTGGGATGGGAGGGCTGAGGTTCAAGGAGGCTCCAGGATGGGTGGGGGTGTCACCAGCAGCAAGTGCAGCCTTGGGAGCTTCTGCTTCCCTCTTCCTTGGGATAAATATTTATAGATTCATTTGCCGTCTGCCATACACACTTGGCTGCTTACCTCCTGGTAAAAATAGTGCAGGCTCCCCACTCCCGCCCTTCCCTTCCCTATCCAGGACAGGGGACAAGGGGGAGCAGGTGAGGCCTATGCCCCTAGAAGCCTATTGGTGTCACAGAGCCTGCTGGCCCATCCAAAGTTGAGTGGGGTGGGGTAGTGATTAGGGGCCCTATTGTTAAGATTTAAGAAGGAGCCCCATGTCAGTGCAAAGGGATGTGTGTGCTGCCCACACAGACCTTGGAGCTGTGGACAAGCTTGAATAGAGTGGGCTTCCGGCTTGGGCAGTAGTCCAAGGCCCTGAAACCAGGGCCCCTGGATTGGGAGGATAGGGAGCAGGCTGGGCAGACCCTTATCTAGGCCAAGTAAGGTCACGTATGTTGGCATCTCGTGTCATAGCAAGGGTCTGGGGCTGCTGGGCATTGTGTATATCACGGAACAGTTATCTATGTGTACAAGTCAAGTCTACCTGTAGGAGGAGGCCTCTGAGCAGATACAGGTGTGGCCTCTCAGTGGTCTCCCAGGTTGTACGTTTTCATGGTATTTGATCCATCATAAGGAAGCCCTTCTGACCTGTATGGGACATCCCCATTTCCCTGATAAGGGCCATGGGAAGCACGCTTTGATGGGGCTTGCTAGACTCACAGTTAGTGTGAGCTGAGACCCTTCACATATCCCCCACCCTGTCCCTGGCTGCACCATAGGTCTTGGCACATAGTCAGCGTTCACTAGATAGTGGACAGACAGATAAATGTGGGGAAGAGTCACAATATGTGTGTGTGTGTGTGTGTGTGTGTGTGTGTGTGTGTGTGTGTGTGTACTCCTAAGGTTCTAGTAGTGGCCTTAGGAGGGCTATGAGGAGCTCTGCTTGAGTGGCCTTACTGAGGCTTGGGGAAAGGGAGCAGCAACAGGAAAAGGCCAGGAAGGCCCACAGGGCTGGGAAAGCCTAGGAAGACCCTGGTGGGGGAAAGAGACTGAGGAAAAAACAGGCCTTCAGGAGATTTATGTGGCCAGAGGCCAGGGAGCAGAGGTTGGAGTCAGTGGGGCCCAGGGACCTGACCTGGCAGAGCAGCTGCCAGGGGATGAGATGCTCAGGTAGAACAGATGCCAGCCAAGAGCTGCTGGGTCGACAAGGCAAGGCAAGGCACAGGCTGGAAACTGGCTGTGGCTGAGTCTTCCCTAGAGATCTGTGGCAAGATAGAACTCAAAAGGAGAGAGGAGGCACCCGCAGTGCAGCATCGTCATTTGCCAGCTTATCCTGCAACCAGCACTTTCACCTGCCTGTGCCTCAGTTTCTCATGTTCCATGTGTCAAACAAGCCTAAGAAATGCTTCCTAGAACCAGGTGCAGGGAAGAAGACTTAGGTTTGACAAGTCATTCATTCATTCATTCATTCATTTGTTCATTTTGAACCACCTACTACATGCCAGGCACTGTGCCAGGCTCTGAGGATAGAGTGACGTGTAAGCCCACCCCGGATCTCCCAGTCTAGTGGGGGAGACAAGAACATGCCAGGTAGTCTCAGGACAGTTTGATGGAATTGAGATCGATCCAGGAGATCCGTGCCTTGGGGAATTTGGGACTGCTGGGGAGGGTGACTATACATGGTTGGCATGCAGGCCTCTCACCTCCATGCCCCCTCCCTCCTCCCTACAGCTGAAGGCACCCGGTGCACAGACCCACCTGCAGGCAAGCCCGCAATGGCGGCCAAGCGCAAAGGCGGCCTAAAGCTCAATGCCATCTGTGCCAAGCTGAGCCGCCAGGTGGTGGTGGAGAAGGGAGCTGAGGCCAGCTCCCAGGCTGAGGGGAGCCCACTGCAGCCCAGGGACAAAGAGCGTAGTGGCCCTGAGTCTGGGGTGGCCCGGGCCCCCCGCAGCGAAGAAGACAAGAGGCGGGCTGTGATCGAGAAGTGGGTCAACGGGGAGTACAGTGAGGAGCTGGCGCCCACACCTGTGTTGGGGCGCGTCACCCGCGAAGGCCTGGATCTGCCGCCTGAGGGAGTCTACATGGTTCAGCCCCAGGGATGCAGCGATGAGGAAGACCATGCAGAAGAGCCCTCTAAGGGTAGCAGCATCCTGGAGGATAAGGACTCAGATGGGACAGCCTCAAAAGATGACAGTGGTCCCAGTGCCAAGCAGACCTCAGGTGCGTGTCTGGCTTCTCAGGGGAGGGTGAAGGCTGAAAAGGGCACAGCATCACAGGAAGGCCCAGCAGAGAAGGGCCTGTCTCCAGGGGACACCCCCTTTCTACTCACTCCTGCTCCAAATTCCTGCACCTCATCCAACCCAGAGAAAACTCCTGGGGGTGAGGGATGGAGGGACAGACAAGGCAGCTTCCAAGTGTGTGAGCAGGGTGGGGAGAGCTGCCCAACATACAGAGGGGCTTTGAGAAACAATGGATAGAGACAGGTGGACAGATGGACAGACAGACTGCATAACGAATAGGCAGATGGTGGTGGATGGGGGATTCTGTTTGCACACACCTGCAGAGGGACAAGCCTGTCAAGGGGCCGTGGTACCTGGCTGCAAGTGTGGGGAGCAGCGGGAATGTCCAGGGCATCATGAGCCACATGAAAGTTCTCTTGGGGAGGCTTCTCTGAGAAGCCCAGAGAGGGCTTTGTTGCTTTCTCTACTCGGTCTTCCCTGTCCCTGTGCTCCCTCTCAGGCAGGAACCTCCCAGAGACTGGCCCTGTCCAGCCAGCAGATCCCCTTACACCCGGCTGCCTGGACATGGTCCTCTGGCTGACCTCTCTCGTGAGATGGCCGAGGCCCGGCTTCTCCAGTGTCCCCTTGTTCTGAAGGACTCAGAGCAGCCTCAAGCCCTTTATGCTGCAGGGGAGGCCAGGCCTGGGGTTCCAGGCAGGAGAGAGATCTCCACTAGGACTGGAAGTTTGGGGCCTGAGCCTTGGCTCCAGCCCCCAGCCTCCTTCCCATGCTTATGCCTGGAGCCCTGCTCCTCCCCTGCCTGTCCCTGTCCCCCTGCAGCAAGGGGCGCATCTCCTCCCCGTGCGGGGAACCCTGCTCATCCACATAATTATGCATATAAGATATAAACAGAGCTGTTTAATTATCCTCCGCCACATCAGTGACAGAGTAATTAACAAACATTGCAAGATCAATGAGGAAAAGTGTGACCTTCAGTTTCCTCTGATACGAAAAGCCCTTGCCGTTGCCAGACACAAGGTGATTTTGCTGGGCCTGAGGAGAGAAGAGGGACAGGGACAAGGGCCGCTGTCCCTTCAACACTGCCCCCACTGTGTACATGCACACACACATATCCACACACCCACTCAGCTGGCCTGTGGTGCGGAGAGGGGAGGGGAGTAGCCTCACCTCCTGCCTCCTTCAGTCTGGGGAGCTGGGAGCAGAGAGGGCAGGAGGCAGGGCTTGGACTGCCCGTGGTCTTGTGGCCAGCCTCGCTTCCTCAGCCCAGAGATAGCCAGCAGGAGCCCTACTGCTTGCCATGAGCTTGGCTTCCCAGGCCACCTTCTCTGGGCCCAGGGACTCAGGAATGCAGGGCTCTGGGCTGCTTCTGGGACCCCTGCCTGGCCCCTTTCCTGCTAGAAGCTGCCTGCCCTTCAGAGCCTTCTGTTTCTCTGCCATATATAGTGAGGGCTCAGCCGCCTTCAGCTATTTTTAGCCCCTCTCCCTGGTCCCTGAGCCACTACATCCAACAACCAGAGCCCACTCCTCCCAGGCCAGCCCCCAACCTGTGTGCCTGCCTGTGCGGACCTGCCAGCCTGCCAGCAGAACAGCTGTCTGTGGGCATCTTGAGTCACTCTGCCCAGCCTGAATGCCAGGGAGCTGCCTGTGACTGTTCTCTCCTAGTGAGGTCCCTTGCCCCCAGGACAACTTCCCTGTCTTGGAAGCTCAGAGTCCCTTCCTTCTATCATCCTGCTGGGCTCATTTTGCTTCCAGGCCCCAGCCTGCTCTATTAGACCCCCTGTGGTGTGATCTAAGAATCCCAGGTTTGGGTGGGTTGGGGAGGAGCCCCCTCTGGCATGCCTTCCCTTTGCCATGCTGTTAGAACCCCTAGCCTGAGGGCCAGCCACTCTGAGAATACCCAAATTGACAGGCTCATACCCAGTGAAGAGAGCATGCGAACCCCTGGACGGTGTGAGTCTCACTTGCCTGTGTGTGCCCAACACTGATTCAGGGTGCAACCCACAACAGGTGTATAGCATGGGTTAAATAAATGGAGGCATGAATGTCTCATGTGTTATGGTGAGAGGCTGTATGTAGAAGAGGCATTCGGATGGGTTTGCTTCCTCCAGCCATCCTGAGGCTTGTCTTAGGGAACTGGGTGTGGGGTTTTGGGGATTGTTATGGGTGTGTCTGTAGAGATGGGGAAAGTAGCTAGGGACCTGAGCTTGTGTGTGTGTGTGTGTGTGTGTGTGTGTGTGAGTAAACGTGTGTGCATGTATATGTGTTGTATTTGAGAGTCTGTATGTGATTGTGTATATGTGTCTGAGTATGTGTGCCACTGTGGGGCGACCACTCAGGGTTCTTAGTGTTCCCTGAGTATAGATAATGGGGAGGATGGATGAGCCACCCTCAAGCTTCCTACCCTGTACCCAGCAGGGCCAACTACTCCTATTAGCTCTCATCTTGCTCTCCTAGTAATTACCCTTGTGGCAACAGGGATGACAGGGTACCCAGGGACTTTGAAGGAGTTGCCTCTGATACAAATCTTGGCTGGAGTGGGGCCCTCAGTGAGTTTGGGTAGGCATAATGGCACAGTCCCTGCCCCCTGCTCAGCTCTGTGTTTGGGGACCATCAACAACCTGGGGAGCCCAGGAAGCCAGGACTGGTATATCTAGGGGCAAGCCCCTTATCTGCCCAGGAAGTCCATGTGTAGGAATCATGAAGGTCCTTTTGCCAGGCCTACCCCAGAACATGTCCCTCAGCCCCCAGGGCTCCTTCCTGACTGTCTAGCCACCAGTCCATATCCTTACCTATCCCTGGCTCCTATAACCACTGTCCCCACCCTAAGAGGCAGGTTGGGATCTGGCCTTACTTCCAGTAAAATGACTTCTCTTTCATATTAGGCCAAGGCGAGAGAGCGAAGACATTTATGAAACTTTGTTTAATGTACTGAAAAGCCATCGGCCAGAACATTTAGGAAATTGATTTTCCTGGCATTGATGAACTCGTTTTATTTTACCCCAGTATTAATTACTTTTTTTTAAAACAAATTAATTTAAGAGTCGTAAAACCTAACAAGTGAGCCAAATGTCCATAGATCATGTCCTGCTCCGCCCCTCCCCATGCTGGCCCCCTACCTCCATGGGTGGGGGCTCACATGGGGAACCTCCTGTCCTTTCCCCCCCTGCTTCCTCCCAGAGGTGACCTGCCCCCGCCTCTTCCCTTGTAGGCGAGGCCTCCTCTCTGCGGGACTATGCGGCCTCTACCATGACGGAGTTCCTTGGTATGTTTGGCTACGATGACCAGAACACAAGGGACGAACTGGCCAGGAAGATCAGCTTCGAGAAGCTACATGCAGGTTCCACCCCTGAGGCAGCTGCCTCCTCCATGTTGCCCTCCTCTGAGGACAGCCTCAGCAAGAGAGCACGCTTCTCCAAGTATGAGGAGTACATCCGAAAGCTGAAGGCTGGCGAGCAGCTCTCCTGGCCAGCCCATGGCATCAAGGCCGATGACCGAGTGGGCAAAGAGGTGGTGGGCCCCCTGCCTGCCCTGAGGCTTCCCAGTAACACCGCCCATCTGGAGACCAAGGCCACCATCTTGCCTTTGCCATCACACAGCAGCGTCCAGATGCAGAACTTGGTGGCCCGTGCTTCCAAGTATGATTTCTTTATCCAGAAATTGAAGACGGGAGAGAATCTGCGGCCCCAGAACGGGAGCACCTACAAGAAGCCATCTAAGTACGACCTGGAGAACGTCAAATACCTACACCTCTTCAAACCTGGGGAGGGCAGCCCCGACATGGGAGGGGCCATCGCCTTCAAGACAGGCAAAGTGGGGCGTCCCTCCAAGTATGACGTCCGGGGCATCCAGAAGCCGGGCCCCACCAAGGTTCCACCCACCCCCAACCTGGCTCCTGCACCCCTCACCAATGTGCCCAGTGCTCCCAGCGCCCCTGGGCCGGGGCCAGAGCCACCTTCCTCTCTGTCCTTCAACACTCCTGAGTACCTGAAGTCAACCTTCTCCAAAACAGACTCCATCACCACGGGGACAGTCTCCACTGTCAAGTAAGGCGCTCTCCACCCCACTGCCACCTGAACCCAAGGGTAGTATTGGGAAGGGAGGCCCACCTCCTTACCTGTGAAGTTCACAGTGGTGGACACATCCACTTGTGCAGCTCAGCTTCTCATCACACGCACACACACACGCACGCACACACCACCACTCCTGTGCCCCCGTCTGGTGCTCATGCTCTGATTGTGGACCTGCACACTCCGTAACTCCTGTGCACCCTCACTTGCTGACACATGCCCAGGCACTGGTGCACAGTATTCCTTTGCTAACACGCACACCAGGGACCATTGTGACCCCCATTTGTCATGACTTGCTTCCTCTGCCTGATGCCATGAGAGCTGAATTCAAGCTGTGGCTGGCTGAGACAGTCCCAATCCAAGGGGGAGGATGTCTATACCAGTGGCCCTGGCTCCAGACACAGGGCCTGGGCCACAGAAGAGGCAGGAAGAAGAAGACTGCTGGGAAGGGGCATCTACCCTTTCAGCCCTAACCCAGGGGTAGGGGACTGACCTTTGATAGTGAAATGATGGGTCAATTGAGACCCTTCCCCAAAGCCCTTCTCTCCACTATCGGAGCATGGCATCCCGAATGCCCCAGAGGCTGTGAGCCTTGGCAGGTCTGGGCAGCACACTGGGCATGAGATATATGCTTCCCTCTGTCCATTGACCTCACTTGATGCTGCCTCCCTCCCCGTGCTCCTCCTGGGTTCCTAGTGCTCTTCCTCAGCCAGTGGCCTTCTGATTTTCCCCCACATGCTGGTGGTGGAGGCAGTACTCAGCTTTTGAAGCTTTCTGCCCAGGTAGACTCTAGGCCTGGTCAGGACTGGAGCCCTCCAGCACCACCTTTGCGGGACAGCCCAGTCTTCACCAGAGTTGAGCTGAGTCTCTACCGTGCTTCTGCTGAGGGACTTTCTCAGTCCCACCCCAAGCCTTGGAATGCTACAGAGCACTGGAGAGAAGGGTGAGGGGCAATGGTAGGAAGCTGCCCACCAGGTGCTCCTGGAGCCTGAAGCCATCCCTGTCCACTAATCAGATGTGCCCTGTGTGTCTCACCAGGAATGGATTGCCCACAGATAAACCAGCTGTCACTGAAGATGTAAACATTTACCAGAAATATATTGCCAGGTAGGCCCCTGGGGAGGAGACTATGGAGAGAAGGTGGGGGGATCCAAGAATACATCCAGGGACTGTGGTACCATCTGTGCACTGGCTCTCCCTATGGCCAAGGGGCTGCCTCTTCCCCACCGTTCTCACTCCTGTCCCTAAATTCTCCATCACAGGCCTGCACCTTTTGTGTAGTCCAGGCCACATAGTCTATAAGCAGCTTGTACCCCAGGTAGGGTATAGGTATGGGAAGGTTATCTGACAGTAGGGCTTGGCCACAGGTGAGTGCTGGCTTCCCTCCAGGGCTGGCCTGGGTCCTGTCCCCACGCAGCCTTGGATGGAGTACAGGCCACCGTGGAGCTGGAAATGGATAGGCAGTCATCCTTTGGGATGGCCCACCAGGCTCCCAGGAGAGCCCTGATGCCACCTGACTCTAGATTCCTCCTTTTCTGCCCCCAAGGCAGCGGGACTGGCAGATGAAGACCCTTCTCGACAAATCCTCCAGATGAGGCCCCTCAAGGCTGGTGCCTGGCAGGACAGGGACCGTACCCCAGCAGTGGCATCTGTCCTTCTATGATCTTCTGTGTTCTTCCCTCTCTGTCTCTGCCTCCTTTGTCCCTCTGTCTCTGCTTTGCTCTCTCCTATCTTTATTATTATCACCATCATTATTATTAGTGCCTCAACAGATGGCCCTTTTGGCAGCTTCAGCTTAAATATTTATTTGTGAGTGGTTCTCCCCCTTACGGTAGGACTTCTCCCTCTCTCCTGAAATTGCATCATCCATGATGCTAAGCCTTCCCTGCTGCTGTCAGGACCACTCTCAGAATGACCTCCCAGGGCTGGCCAGCACTGAAGCTGTGAGAACCACACCCCAGTAGTATTGGGGCCCGGAGAGGAGCCAGGCAGTGGCTAGGCAGTGTGGGGCTCCTGGCTGCACACTTGGCTGGAGAGTGAGCCCCCTGCTATGGGAAGCCAAACAGATGCTGTGCTTTAAAAATTCATAACTCTGGACTGTTTCAAGTGTCAGGAAAAACCCAGAACAGAGAGAGAGAGCCCTTTAACACCTTTCAGCAACAGAGACCCAGTCTGGCCCAGCCAGGGTCCCTTCCCTAGCCAGAGCCAGGTGGAGGTGGGGCAGGGGATTTAGCCAGTCCCGCTACCTGCATAAAAGGCAGTTAGGCCGTCCTGAGGCTCCAGGTCTCCTCTCTAGTATGTCTTTCCTCTGACTTGTGGCTTGTGGCTTTCCCTAGATTCTTTCCCCACCTGGGTGCCAGGCCTCTGCCTCACCTGGCACTCATTCCCAGGCAGAGGTTGGCAAGGTGAGCAGCCAATGGGTCTAGGATTCCTGACAGGCCCAATTCCTAGGCCTCTGCCATTTCACCTCTGTCACCCTTGTCCTTACCCAGGTCCTCTGAACCCCGACAGCACCTCTCTAGGGCCTGGGCAGAGGTGGGATCCTAGGATTAGAGTCCTGGATGAGTCCTTCCTGGGCCTGGCACCCAGGGAAGGGCCTACCCAACACACTCCTCTCCTCAGGTTCTCAGGCAGTCAGCACTGTGGTCACATCCACTGCGCCTATCAGTACCGGGAGCACTACCACTGCCTGGACCCCGAGTGCAACTACCAGGTATGGGCCATACCCCACCCGCCCACCAGTGCAGCCTGGAGGCTCTTACAGGAAGTGGGGCAGAGGGCTACCATCACCTTATCAGGCAGAGAGCACAGCCAGCTACCAGCCTTCTCACATTGCCATTTTCTAACTGAGAAAGCTGCTAAGAGGGTCTGCTGCCATTGATGTGCCCTGGTGTTGGTTGTTCCAGCTCCCTTTCACTGGGAGTCTAGCCTGGACCAAGGACTGTGCCCATTAGCCTATGTGATTAGCTGACTCTTCCTAGGGCCTCCTAAGACTGGTATTACTGCCCCATTTTCAAGATGGAAAATTGAGGTCCAGATAGACCTCAAAGCCACCACTGAGTGCAGAGCTGGTGAAGGGGTGGCACTGGGCAGTCTGCACAGCCAAGAAGAGCTGTCTGTCTATCATGCTAGGAGCACAGTGACCTAGGTGGAATGCACTGTCACCCATCAGAGCCCTTGGTGTTAGGGCTTATCCAGTGCATTTTCTGTGGTCCTGGGAGTAGCTGTTGGGAGCTGGGGGGAGCCTGGGGAGGGTTTCTGATTCCTGAGCCTTTGGACTCATTCCTGCCAATAACCAGTGTGCAGGAATCAGCCAGGCAGTTTGGGCTGCCTTGACCCTAAGGAGGGTTATTTATAGGGCGACCTGAGGGCCTTGGGGCCAGCCCTGGCCCAGACACTCTTGGCATGTGGGTTGGGGGCATGGGTTCCTGCCAACTCCGCGCTCTCTCCTGGCAGAGGTTCACAAGTAAGCAGGACGTGATCCGACATTACAACATGCACAAGAAGCGGGACAACTCCCTGCAGCATGGCTTCATGCGCTTCAGCCCGCTGGATGACTGCAGTGTCTACTACCATGGCTGCCACCTCAACGGGAAGAGCACCCACTACCACTGCATGCAGGTGCCTGCGTGCCCTGCCCAGCTCTAGGACCTCCCTCCCTGCCTGCCCTCCACACCAGGGACAGGGCTACCCCAGTGGGCAAGGGCCCTGGTTAACCAGGAACCTCTCTTTCTCCTGGCCCAGGATTGGGGGCGGTGTGCAAGCTGGCAGGCTAAGAGTCCTGGGGGCTTAGCTGGGGGCAGTGCCTGGTGGCTGGGGCGGGGCTTTCCCTCTGGCCATACTTGGTGTGGGGGAAATTCAGTGAGCTGTTTATACAGACAGACATTTTTTAGGCTTTAACACCAAGAGCAGCATTGCAAATGATTCCTGAGGAGGTTTTTGTTTAATTCTTTGTTTTAATGCCACACCGAGTCTGGGCTTTTTCAAGGTGTCAGGCCCAGGAGGAGCAACTAGCAGCCTGCACACCTCCCCCTTATTTGTCAGGGGTTGTTATGGCCTCTGTGAAACAACCTGGCGCAAGGACAGGGGGGCCACCCTCCAGGCCTGAGATGGTGCAGACACTGGCATAGCCCAGCCTTCGAGGGTGCTCAGGGCCACTGCTTTTTACTCAATATGGCAACATTGCCTGCCTGGCCCAGCTGCGGTGGGTGGGAAGGCCTCGTGCCCAGGAACCATCCACAAAGCAAGTCTCAAAGTTAGAGGTGACCTCCTTGTCCAGCCCTCTGAAGGCTTTAGGTCAACTGATTGAAACCCAAAACCTAACTCTGCAGTGTGGCTCTCACACCAGGGTCTGAAAGTGTGTGGGGTCCTAAGACAGCCCAGCCCTTGTTGCAGACGGATCCCAATCACTCCCTGGGGGAGTTGTTAGAGGTTTTCTGCTTCAGAACTGGGTTGAGGTGAGAAGCTGGATGTTTAGAGGTGCCAGAGCTCCCATGAGCAGTGGCCCTATGTTCCCAGTCACACCCAGCACCGTGACCTTGGCCCAGGAGAGCTAAGCTCAGCTCCTGTCCCCTAACCACCATTCTGGCCTGTGCAGGTGGGCTGTAACAAGGTGTACACGAGCACCTCTGACGTGATGACCCATGAGAACTTCCACAAGAAGAACACTCAGCTCATCAATGATGGCTTCCAGCGTTTCCGAGCCACCGAGGACTGTGGTACTGCCGACTGCCAGTTCTACGGACAGAAGACCACGCACTTCCACTGCAGGTAAACAGCTGGCCCGTGGGGCTGCCCAGGCTGGGGGACAGATAGGAGGAAACCTTGCCCACAAGACAGCCATGGCCCTGCTCCTCGTGGGGAGTAGGGGCAGGAGTCAGGGGCTGCTCAGGGACCCTTCCTTAGTGTCTACCCTGGGTCTCCCATCTAGGGGACTGTCCTTCCCAGGGAAAAGAGGGAGCAGGGTGGGGCCTCCCCTGGGTCCCATGAAGCCCTCATGTCAGCCTCCCACTGTCCCGTCCAGGCGCCCTGGCTGCACGTTCACCTTCAAGAACAAGTGTGACATTGAGAAGCACAAGAGCTACCACATCAAGGATGATGCCTATGCCAAGGATGGCTTTAAGAAGTTCTACAAGTACGAAGAGTGCAAGTACGAGGGCTGTGTGTACAGCAAGGCCACCAACCACTTCCACTGCATCCGCGCAGGCTGCGGCTTCACCTTCACCTCCACCAGCCAGATGACCTCACACAAGCGCAAGCACGAGCGCCGTCACATCCGCTCCTCGGGCACACTGGGGCTGCCAGCCTCACTCCTAGGCGCCAAGGACACAGAGCATGAGGAGTCCAGCAACGACGATCTTGTTGACTTCTCTGCACTGAGCAGCAAGAACTCCAGCCTGAGCGCCTCCCCGACCAGCCAGCAGTCCTCTGCATCCCTGGCTGCCGCCGCCACTGCCACCACTGAGGCTGTGCCCAGTACCGCCAAGCCTCCCAACAGCAAGATTGCTGGGCTGCTGCCCCAGGGCCTACCTGGCTCCATACCCCTGGCATTGGCCCTCTCCAACTCAGGCCTGCCCACCGCTGCACCCTACTTCCCCCTCCTTCCTGGCCGGGGGAGCACCTCGCTGCCTGTGGGTGCCCCAGGCCTCCTGGGTGCCATGTCATCTGGGGCAGCAGCCTCAGCAACCCCCGACACGCCAGCTCTGGTGGCCTCAGGAGTTGGAGACTCTGCCCCAGTGGCTGCCACCTCTGTCCCCGTATCCCCTGCCTCCATCATGGAGAGGATCTCTGCAAGCAAAGGCCTCATCTCGCCCATGATGGCCAGACTGGCTGCAGCTGCCCTCAAGCCCTCTGCCACCTTTGATGCAGGTGAGCAGGCTGGGCCATGCCCAGGAGGCAAGCACCTTCTGGACCCAGCAGCCCCCTGTGGTCAGGCTGCAGAGCAGGACATGGGGGGGATGGGAAGAGCATCTGTCTGGCCCCTGCACCCTGGTCTCCTGTCCACCCGTGCCCCCTCTTTGCCTAGTCTCTGCCTCCATCCTGTTTATTTCCTCTTTGCGGCCCCTCCTGGCCAAGCGCCTAGGAAGCTTGTGCCTCTGTTTTTCCATCATCTGTGGGGTAGGGCTGTAGTCCCTGCCCCAGGGAACCTGTGTCCTGTTTGCTCCCTGTCCTCACCACCCACATCACTGATGGGTCTCTGAGGAGAACTGCCCCGGGCCCCCTCTTCCCTTGGGTCTTCTCAAGCTGACTGGAGAGGACAAGCCCAGCCAGTGGCAGGGTGGCTGCACCCCACACCTGGACAGCCCCTCCAGGCTGAAGGATGCCTCCCAGCCTCTCCCCCGGTAGGACCTTCTGCTCTGCACTGTCAAGCCTGGCAGCCACAAACCGTGCGCAGCTATCAAGTGCTTGAAACTGGTTCACGTGATAAAGAAACTGGATTGTAATTGTAATTAAGTAGCCATAGCTGGCCAGTAGCCGCCACATCAGACAGCTCAGGCCAGAGCCACAGGGTCACATCTGGTCTCACCCTGGCCCACGTGAGGGAGGCTCTCCTTTCTCTTCCTTTCTCCTTCTCTTCCTTTCCCTTTTTTTCTGGATTCTTTTTTCTTTCTTGTTTTCCCCTGCATCCTGTCTCTGTTTCTTCAGAGGGTAATTAGTGTTATTTGAGTCTCTGAAAAGAGTTCAGCTTCATGTCTGTAATGTAGCTCGTTTCATTCATTCATTCAACAACCACTGGTGCTTGCTAAGAGCCAACCTTGAGCCAGGTGCTGGGGACACAGGCAAGAGGACAGACAGAAGCTCCACCCTGTGGAGCTGACGGAGCAGTGGGGGATGGTCTGTCCCCAGGCACCCAGCTAGAAGTGATGAAGTAGAGACTTAATCGAGACTTGGTCCTCAGCAGCCTGGACACTGTGCTCCCATTCTAGACCATCTTGGAAACAGCTAAGACTGAGGGGACCCTTTGCCCAGTTAGATGTGCTCTGTGCACATCTCCCCAGGGTATTGGTGCCGGGTGGGGGCCCATTTCCCTGGGAACCTGAGGCAAGTGACTTCAAGAGCTGCTGGAGCATGGACTCCTGAGGGCTAGAAGCTGTGCTGGCCCCGGTTGGCAAGCTCATATCCCAGGTGGCGGTTTGGAGCACCCACCTTCCACTCTTTGGGCGGGGTTCTGCCCTGGCCACAGGATCCTGCAAGCAGGTCAGGGCCCACTCCAGAGCCGCACTGGACTCAGTGGCCAGACTGTCAAGTACTTTCTTTTCCTTAGAAGAATCGCCTTCCCCCAAAAGAAAAGTCAAGCGAAGGGGAGGGAGCTGTTTTCCTTTATTTTTAATAAAATGCCACTTGCTGTCTGTGAAGCAGCCCTCTGTCAGCTGTAGCGCCTTGGGGCAAATTAATATTTAAGTCACTTGGGGATTGTGGAGCAGGGCTCCGTGGACACCTTCCTGTCAGCAGCTTCTTTTGCCCCCACTCTGTTTGGCCTCCTGTGGCCTCTTCCAGCCCAGTTACCCCTCAGATCCAGCCAGGCCGCTGGGGTGGGCCTGGAGTCCCTGCCCTGGACAGCTTGATGGGCGGGCGAGGTCACACAGTTTGAACCACCCTGATTGGCCGTCAGCCCTGATAGTCCTGACACAGCAGATACCCTCCTCGGGCATGCTCAGTGCAGGCAGGGCCGTCGCCCCGGCAACAGTGGGCCAGGGACCTCGGGGGGGCCCGCTCCCAGTCCAGATCTGCCACTTTCTCTCAGCATTAACAGAGTCTTTAATAAAAGCTTAAGCGGCAGCCCCACAAATCGACTGTGACAGTTGGTGGAGAAAATGAAGGGCCCCCGCCCCTGCCCCAGCCCCCTCCCCAGCCTCCCGCCCTTTTCCTCCAGGAGGCCCCGAGCCAGGACAACTTTGACATAATTTTGCAATAATTATCACTTGAAGAATTGCCACACAGGGGTAAGCGTCGCAAGCAATCACGTCAGTGGGGAGAATAGCTGACCAGCAGTCAGGCCTCCCCTGGGCCCCCTGCCCACCCAGCCATTGCCCTCCCTTCTGGGGTAGACCAAGGTTTGTGTCCATGAGAAGCCTGAGCCCCTCTGACCCCATCTTCCCTCCCCTCCCCTGCAGGAAGCGGGCAGCAGGTCACCCCTGCCAGGTTCCCCCAGGCCCAGGTGAAGCAGGAGCCCGGTGAGAGCGTTGGCACCCCAGGCCCCCACGAGGCCTCCCAAGACCGCAGTCTAGACCTGACTGTGAAGGAGCCCAGGTGAGGCGAGGCCAGAGAGGCTCCTGCGGGAACCGGCCTGGGCCCCAGACCAGGAGGCCCATGACAGCACCCTCAGAGCTGGACCCCAGCCAGCTGGGTCCCCACTCCCACCCAGGGCTCAACTCTCCCCTCCCTCCTCCCCTGCCGGGCAGCTAGCTGCAGCAGGCAGGGTCTGAGCAGGGCTGGGTGGGAGGGGTGCGCCTCTGGGCTCAGGCCCATGGACGTCTGAGCTGAAGCCCCTTGGTTTGTGTGTTCTAGTAATGAATCAAACGGCCACGCAGTCCCGGCAAATTCATCTCTTTTATCCTCGCTTATGAATAAGGTAAGAACCATCCATCACACGCCTCCCGTTCCCCCACCCAGAGAAATTAAAGCTGTGCTGGGGGGTGGGGGGGAATGTGTTTGTTTTTTAATGTTTTCCCTCTAATAAGATGAGTTTGTACCATTTAAATTTTGAGGCCATTTTTCATCGAATATAATTTCAGAGCCACTGCTTACAAATTAATTTAATGAACTGGCTGAAGAAATATATTCCAGCCTCTGACACCTTTTTTTCCCTTCAGATGGAGGACTCCGAAAGCTTTCCAGGGCCTTCTAACTTCTCTAGCCCTTAGTTATTAATGTTATTTATTTATTTTATATGTATTTTTTGTTTGTTTAAAAAGGGATGGGGGCGGTGGACTGAAGTGGGTGCAAAATATCAATTTCCACTTTTCGGGTTGAGTAATGGTCTCAGATGCCTTCCGGAGAGGTCGCTCCAGAATATTTATTTTAAATAATGCAGGGTCTTTGTAAATTATACATCATCTCAAATATATTTTTCCCCTTCACATGATAAATTTGACTACAGCAAGATTAATTTGGTTACTGTACACAAGTGACTGGGTTGAAGAGGAAGCCAGGACTAGCTAGACTTCTTGGGGTGGGCAGGTCCAGCTGGACACTCAGTGGGGCAGGAGCTCCCGCTGCCTGTGCCCTGCCACCTGCCCTCCCCTGCTTGCTCTCTTGCTGTCCTTTACCCTCCTCCAGCCACTGCCCACTGCACCCTCTCATTCCTTCCTGAGGATCCTGTGCACCACCAACTCTTCCCCAGAGGCCACAGCAGCCTGTCTCACTCTCACCCCTTCAGCCTCACCCTCTCCCTCCCTCGCTGCTCCTCTTTGTATGCCTTCTCTTGTTCTCAAGAAATTCGTAGGGGTTCCCCCTTCCCTCCTCCTCCTGCCTGGTCTTTTGAAAACCTTCTGGCAGGAAAATAACTGGGAGCCTCAAAGTCTGGGGAAAGAGGGGCCGTGCTGTGCACCCTGAGTGGTAGCCTCGGCTTGAGTGATGGCTCCAGCAGCCAAGCTGCCAAGGAGCCTGGAGAGGCTGTGCCTCTTGGGAGGCCAGGACAGGGGTGAAGCCCATCACCTGGGGCTCTTCTCTACTCAAAGCCAGGTGGGCTAGGCGTATTCTCATCACTGGACTCTCAGCACTGCACTATTCAGACCGGAGGTCCCCCAACCCCAAGCTTGACCTCTGTTCTCACAGATGTCTCAGGGCAACCCCAGCCTTGGCAGCCTGCTGAGCATCAAGGCGGAAGCGGAGGGGAGCCCCGCCACTGAGCCCTCTCCCTTCTTGGGCAAGGCAGTGAAGACGCTGGTTCAGGAGAAGCTGTCAGAGCCCTGGAAGGTGTATCTCCGAAGGTGAGAGGCCTGCGGGAGGGACCAGGGCGGCGCTGGCCACGCCCACCAGCCCTGGCTGCCAGCATCTGCCTCCCTTCTAACTGGTGGGCTCCTCTGCTAGGTTTGGTACCAAGGACTTCTGTGACGCCCAGTGTGACTTCCTCCACAAGGCCCATTTCCACTGCGTGGTGGAGGAGTGCGGTGCACTCTTCAGCACCCTGGACGGGGCCATCAAGCACGCAAAGTGAGTGGGGGTCCTGGGGGCCCACTGAGACAGAGCTCCATTCTTGCCCGGCTCCAGGCTGGCGCAGGCCCCTAGCTGCCCTCCAAACAGGACCCCACTGCAGGTGCCACCCAACCGCAGAAGCTGAACAGGCTTCTCAGAAGGTGCTACCCGAAGAAGGTGGGGCTTCCCCTCCTCTTCCTACATGCTCTGTCCCAGTTGGTGTTGGAACCTCTGCCCTGGCCCCACTTCGGGTTTCTGAGCATCAGCTGCTCCTATATCAGTCCTGGTGGGGCCAGCAGCACCCACTACAGAGCCCAGCTGGAGAGACTCAGGTTGGACCCAGGGAAGAGAGCCTGGGTGAAGGTCTTTCCAGCCACACTATGCTACAACATCTTTAGATTCCATTTGACCTAAAAATACTGAAACGAACTTGTAAATCTTATGGAGTTAAACAGTGAGCACAGCCACAGCCTGTAATTGAACTCAGAACTTGTAAACATTTAAAACAGATCATGATTCTCCAAATCTCAGATCAAGCCTTTCTCCCCAGCTGCTGGTCTGCACAAGAGCCTACCAGGTATTAAATTCTACCCGTGAACCTCAGAGCAGGTTCTGGAAGGAAGAGGACCTCATGAGGCAGGGCCTGCTCTCTCATATACACACCCCAGGTATAGGGCGGCTCAGGACAGAGCTGGGTTACAAGTAGGAAGATGGAGTTAGGGCTCAGCTGAGACCCAAGTTTAGAACCAGCGAGCACAGCAGTCTTTCCTCAAGCCCTTCTGTCCTGGTGGGGTCACGGGAGACCTCCAGAGCCCATGCTTGGGAAGAGGTAGGGACATTTCACCCCTGGACTTCTGATGGGGTCATGTGAGGTATCCCTTCTCTGTGTGACCCCATGCCCAGCCAGGGAAGGGCTGACCTGCCCAGCGGGTCTTTACTCCTCCCCTGAGATACCCTCTTCTGCCTCTCACAGCTTCCACTTCCGGACAGAGGGAGGAGCAGTGAAAGGAACCACAGAGGCTTCCTTCCCAGCCTCTGCTGTGGAGACCAAACCTCCCTTGGCACCCTCGTCCCCTCCAGCACTTCCTGGCACCACGGTCCCGGGGGCCTCTCTGGAGGGGCCCACTCCTAGCCTGGCCTCGGTGCCCTCCACCCCTACCCTGCTCGCCTGGAAGCAGCTGGCTTCCACCATAACCCAGGTGCCTCAGATTCCCACGCCAGTGCCTCACCTGCCCGCTTCACCCCTGGCGACGACGTCTCTAGAGAGCGCCAAGCCCCAGGTCAAACCCGGGTTCCTCCAGTTCCAGGACAAGTGAGTCCCTCCATGAGCCGGTGCCTGTCCCCGTGTCTTGGGAGTGGGGGTAGCCAGGGCAGCGAGGAGGCCCCGTTCCTCCTCACCCTGCAGTTACACTGGCTGTCCCCAGCCAGAGATGCTGCTGCTTGTGCCTCCCCGCCTGCTCCCAGGCAGTGGGTGGGGGTGGTGTTGGTAGCAGCCCCAGCTCCAATGGGCCATGGGGATCCCACAAGGACCGGCTGTGGTGGGCTGGGAGTCGGGGTCCTCAGGAAGTTTCCTGGCCAGACAAGGAGGCCTGTGTCTCCCTCCAGAACACCTTGCTGGTGACACATGCCCAGGCTGAGTCTCCGCAGGGCACAGAAGTCACGGGTAGGGTGAGGGGCCAGGCCCTTCCAGGCCTTCACCCACCTGCACAGTGGTGTGAGCTCTCAGGGTGGAAGGGGACCCTTCCTCACTAAATGGTGGTGGCTCCTTGCGGCGAGAACGGTGACTTTGTATCGTAATGTGTACGGCTTCCTGTTCTCAATAAAAGTAATAAATTGGATTATTTATACCACCTGAGTAGCAGCTGTCCTCCCTTTCTGAGCACCTGGGGCTGGGCCCATGCCATGGAAAGGGACCAGTGCTTCTCTCCCGTCCACCCCACTGCTTCTCTTTCTCCCTCCCCTCCCCAAAGTGGCAGCCACCTTATTTTCCCGGACCTGGTAGACAGTCCCACCAAGGGTCCACTCTTTGGGAACATAGTGTTGGCAACCAGAGCAAAATCCTGGAGCCCAGCATCCTCCAGCAGCTGGAAGGTTCCCCAGCAGGGACTGCTGTTTACTGGTCCTTCTGCCCTCACAGGCCAGCCATGGGGGCTTGGCCCAGCACTCTCGAAGCCCCCACCAGCTCCTTCCAATCCTTGGTTCCGGGGTTCGCTGAGTGGGCGGGCACTGCAGGCCCCAGCTGACCCTGGGGAGCCCCAGTAGCTGTGAGCCTTGGCAGTCCCTGGCACCAGGCACACTTTCCTACTTGCTAAGACCCCATGGTAGCAGTGCTTCCTGGTAGGGCTGCCCACCCATCTGCAGTCTGTCAGTCAACCACATCCGAGGCAGTACTGTGCCATGCCAGCTAGGGCCTCATTGGCATCATGCCAGGGCTGGCTGGCAGCACCATCCCTTATTTTCATATTCAAGAAGTTATTGCAGCCATCCTTATCTATAATCCCTAGGTGTGGCCTTGGAAACTACATGTCCCAGCATGCAATGCTCTGGGCACCCTGCATCTTGCAATCCCTGTGCACAAGGCAGAACTCCTAAAAGGAGGCAGGGATGCATGCTGGGATCTGTAGTTTTCAGTGGAATCATCCTGTTGCACAGGAGGGCAGCCTGGGGCATTCCTTTTGATGGCATCGTTGGTGACTATGGAGTGAACCCCAACACAATCAGTCAGGACACAGGCAGGGAGGGCTTGGGATGCCAATGACCTTCTGGGCTGTGGTTTCCTTCTAGCGATCCTTGCCTCACCACGGACTGCAAGTACGCCAACAAGTTCCACTTCCATTGTCTCTTCGGGAACTGCAAGTATGTCTGCAAGACTTCTGGCAAGGCTGAGTCCCACTGTCTGGACCACATCAACCCCAACAACAGCCTGGTGAATGTGCGAGACCAGTTTGCTTACTACTCCCTGCAGTGTCTCTGTCCCAACCAGGTCAGTGCAGCGGGCAGGACTACAGAGGGGCAGGGGTGGCACTGGGCCCAGGATGAGCTCCTGCTGGCAGAGAGTTTGCTTTTCACACCCTTTTTAAGTTGACCTCTACCAGACTCTGGAAGGGACACTGTCTGTCCCTAGGCCCCTGGAGGCCCCAGGCAGAGTCTAGATTGGTGCTAAATTGGTGAGGTCTGTCATTTCAGCCCTAACCTCCAGTAGCAACTGAGTGCAGCCACTGTGCACTTGACATCACACGTGCCCTCCTGGAGTTAGTTATTTCCCCTTTCCCCAGAGGCCTAGAAATTTAAAATAGTTCTACTGTCCAGGCCTAAACAGAAAGGGAATGAGATGCACTTAAAAGGCCTACCCCCAAGATGGGTAGGAGCTGCCTGAGAAATCAGATCTGAGGTCTGGGTGTGCAGAAAAGACTGCCAGGATAGATATCTACATGTCATACAGGGGAGACTAGATTAGTGCTGGGCTAGATTAGTGATGTCTGCCTAGGTCTAGGCATACAGAGAAGAGTGTTAAAATAAATTAGTGATGTCTGCTCGGGTGTGGCATTAGAGAGGAACTGCGAGATTACCAGGTAGGACGTTTTAGTGAAGTGACAAAGGGGACATACTGCATTTTAACATGTGAAAGGTCTTTACATGTTTGCATTTTCTGATTCTGAGCATGGAAGAACACTGTGCAAAGGGCCTAACCTGAGACAGGCAGGAGCTCACAGAGCCACCACCTATCCTGACTCCCTGTGACTCCCTGCAGCATTGTGAGTTCCGGATGCGTGGGCACTACCACTGCCTCCGGACCGGCTGCTACTTCGTGACCAACATCACCACCAAGCTGCCGTGGCACATAAAGAAGCATGAGAAAGCCGAGCGGCGGGCAGCCAACGGATTCAAATACTTCACCAAACGCGAGGAGTGCGGCAGGCTAGGTACCTAAGGCTAGGGCTGGGGCAGGGACTTCTACAGGTGGCAAGACTACGGCTCAGATCCCTGGGGCCCTGGTGGCTTGGACCATCTTTCCAGGCACCCATCTCCTGCCCCATACAGAATGTTAACGATGTCACAGATGCCACAAGTCAGGTGTTATCAAACTGACAAAGCATCAACACCTAGTCTAGGAAAAAGGGTGAGGGTGGCTCTGAGCACCGGGATGTCATCATTGACATCCGGTCTCCATTTAGTTTGGTTTCCTTTTCTTTTCCAAAGGAAGGGCATGCAGGTATGTCTTAAGAGTTCCAGAAATTCCTTGCCCCGGGATCTCTTTTTGTGGTTTTGACTATGACTTTTTTTGTTCATAAGAAGCCATAGTTCATTCATTCATTTGACAGTTTTTTATCGAGGAACAGTTATATGCTAGTACTGTGTGGTGGGGGTGACAGTTGGTAGCAACTGGGCTTGGTGCTGGGAACCAGGGAGGACAATTAAGTAAGTTACGGGCTCACAGCATCTGCGAGGGCCTGAGACCCAGGAAGGAGGTAGCCACAGATCTGGGAAGAAGAGGCCACAAAGAGCCCTGAGCTTGACAGCAGATTGCTAAGCCCCACAGGAGACAGGGCCTCCTGCTGGTCTTGGGGCCTAAACTGCTGGGAGCTCCAGGGCCAGCAGGTAGAGGGCGGAGCCCACCCCCTGGCCTTGGGATGGAGCCACATGTCTATGGGCCTGCAAATGTGGGACAGGAATCTTCCTAGGAGTCAATGGGAAGCTGGAGGACAGGGGAGCCGCAAGTGGGCAGAAGCACCTGGCAGTGGGCCAGGCCTTGGTGGCAGTCGGGGCTTGGGCAGCAGGGTAGAGGCCACTGCCTAGGGCAGTCTGGCCTTTCCACAGGCAAAGTGTGGCACTGTCCAAGACAACTGCCAGAAAAGAAAGAAAATAAACCTTTCCTTCGAGTATTAGCTCAAGAAGGATCCATGGTGAGGAGAGGGCTGGTAACCATAGCAACAGGTGTCAACATCGGGTGGCCTCTGCTGTTCTGGGCTCAGTTTACAGCCATCAGGGAATTCTGTAGTTGCCTTTATTTACTCAACCTTTGGTGTTTTTGGTGGTAACTGGGGCCAAACAAAGCTGGGGGATGACATAAGACACCTGGCCAGCTTGGTGCCACGGCAACAGGCAGGCCCTCACCTGCCCCTAGCTGATGCTGTTTCAGTCCTGCCTGCTCTGTTTGTTCTCAGCCCAGAGCAAAGCAGAGGTGGGGGAGGGGGGACAGGGCGGAGACCAGCCAGTAAGGTATGGAGCACAGACCATACCTTGGTTCCCAGAGGAGGGTGAGGTAGGTGGTTTGCTGGGAGGTGGCTGACAAAGTGGGGTCCTTTGCCATGGAGATATGAGCCTCTCAGTGAATGGGGCACCTGATGGATACCAGCCTTGTGCTAGGCCACAGGGGAGACCCCAGGTTTGGACAGCCAGGTAGCCTTCCTCATAGGAATGCCCTTTCCCTAAAATCCATCTGCCTGTGGGTCACACTTCCCCTGTGCCCAAACAGTGCCCAGTATACACTGTGTGCTTTAAGCACGAGCCAGCTTAATGCTAGGTGGTGCTGTGTCCACAGGCTGCAAGTACAACCAGGTGAACAGCCACTTCCACTGCATCCGAGAAGGCTGCCAGTTCTCCTTCCTCCTCAAGCACCAGATGACCTCCCACGCCCGGAAGCACATGCGGAGGGTGCTGGGGAAGAACTTCGATCGCGTGCCCCCCTCCCAGGTGAGAGCCCAGGGCAGGTGGGTTCCTTGCCTACTCAGGGTGCATGGCCCAGCCAGCCCTTGCTTCCACACACTAAGTGACAGCCAGAACCCATGGGCAACCTCCTCAGGGACCCCCACTTCTTTTCAGGGCCCCCCAAGCCTGATGGACGCTGAGACAGATGAGGGCATGGATTATACCGGCTGCAGCCCTGGTGCTGCATCCTCCGAATCATCCACCATGGATCGAAGCTGCTCCAGCACCCCTGTGGGCAATGAGAGCACTGCAGCAGGTGAGTGGCAGGCCCAGCTGCACCAGCCCGGCCCCGGCGCCCCAGACCCAGCTCTGCTGAGTCCATCCTGGGAGAGAAGGTTCAGTCAAGTGGTTCCTAGGAGGACAGGCTGGTGTGGCAGACCAGCTGGTCTGTGGGATGTGGGCCATTGAGGCCACCTCCTGCCATTCTGCACACCTCCCCAGCACCCTGTCCTTCACCTCAGTTTCCTGAAGAGGAGCCTGGGCCTGGCCTGAGAGCTACACAGAAAGCAATGCAACCCCAGTCAGAGGGGCAGGCACAGGGGCCCAGCCCTCCTCCTTCACCAGCCCTGCTTCTAGCTGCCGTCCAGCCTCCAGCCTGGCCCTAGAACTCAGAGGCTCCTGCCTGCTGGCCCTGCCTTGGCAGGTCTCCCCAACACACCTGGCTGGCCATGGTGACCTCTGCCCACACTGCCCCTTACTGGCCTCTCTCATCCAGCCCTCCTGACCTCTTCTTTGTCACACTTCTCTCTGCTCATCTGTCCACATATTTTCATTTCATGTCATACTTGCTTCTGCCATTGGATTTCTCATTTTGGTTCTTTTTTGTTTGTTCTTTGTTTTGGTTTTCTTTTCTTTTTTTTTTTTTCCTGCTTTTTTCCACCCTCTCCAGGCTGCCCGGCTCCTCCTCCTCCTCCTCTTCCTCCTCCTGCTGCTGCTGGTGATGAGGCTGCCCAGGCTGCCTGCGGGGCTCCACAACGCCCCCTGACTCCATCCTTCCCACCGGCTGTGCTCCGGCCGCCCCTCCCTCCCCTCCCATGCCTCTTCTCTCCGTCCTGTCTCTCATACTCTCTGCTCAGTGCCACTCTCGGAGCCAGCCGGGGCCTGGCCCACCCCATCAGCAGCCCGCCCAGCTTCCCGCCTGTCACTGCCACTCCAACTCCAGTAAAAAGTGACGTCCCTCTAGTTCAGGACGCCGCAGGTAACTCACACATGCCTTCTCACTAGTGTCTGTTACTCCACTGATCCTCGGGATTGTGATCTAGGACCTGACCCTTTTCCGAGGTCAGCAGAGCCAAGGACAGGGCCATCCTGCACCCCTGACAGCCAAACACAACCGAACCAGAGCTTGGTCCCTGTCCCAAGGGCAGCTCCTTGTGGCTGCCATTCATAACTGAGCGTTGCAGCAAGGGTTTGCCCTTTTCGGCAACTGGTCAGATCTCCTGCTGGGTGCCTGTGAGGTCCCATGGGGACCTTGGGGACAGAGCCTGTCACTGCTGCTCTCAGGAGTTCACCTGAGACCTGCCCAGGTTCGGAGAGTCCTGCTGCTGACCTGAGAAGGGAGAAGAAATCTCTGTGCCCTCAGGCCTCAGGTAGTGCTCAGGTGGTAGAGGTACCTCCCTGGGCCACGCCCATGTCCAAGGCCCCACATGGTCTGCTTGTCCCTGTCCCTTGGTTGCACATATCACACCAGTTTTCCTCTATTCATTCCTGTCTCACATTCTGACCAAGCACAGGCATGGTGCCAGGCCCCAGGGATTGTAGGACCAAGCAGGGCAGAGGGTCTCCACCTTCATGAAATTCAGCCCATCTAAAGTTCTGTTGCTGGCATAACCAGCAGAGCCTGGAGCCTTCAGGCCAAAGCGGCTCCTGGTTGGTTCTCCCATGGATCTCTGGACCTGGGTGCCCCATCCCATTCCAGTCCTTGGTTTCTCTTCGTCTGCCAAGGGTAGGTGGCTGGGCTTGTCTTCAATTGGGTGGCGCAGACTTTGGAAGACAGAGTGGAGGCCACGTATACTAGGCCAACTCAGGGAGGCCGAGCTGGCCAGTTGCATGGAGAAGCCTGGAGGATGCCCCTAACCCCAGTCGGGGTTTTTCTGGGGGGTGGTCTGGGACCAGCTGCCTCATTCCCAGTGCCTATGTAGCCAGCAGGTGGCCAGGCCTAACAGCCTCCCTCCATCCACACTATAGGGGCTGCAGGTACATCAGGCCACAGGCAGTCTAAGTGCCAGGAAGCAGCCTGGGGCCAGGATGGGCATTAGCTGAGCCCAGTCCTGGCCCAGGCTGCGGGGACTGGAGCATCTTCTAAGTAGACGTTTAGTTTCTTGAGGTCCCTCAGGCCTTAGGAGCAGAAAACTCCAAGATCTTAAGGAAACTTCTGGTACCAAACAGAAGGTTCTCCTCAGGGCAGGGAATTACAGCCCCACACGGCCCCTGGGCACTTGGCATCTCCACTGTGAGGAGGCAGGTCCCCCAGTGCAGACAGGCAGGCAGCCCGGGAACTGGCTAGCCTGCAGGAAAGGAGCAGGCCTGGCCCTCGTTAGAGGCCAGAGTGTGATGGCGTCCTGGCCCAGGTCCAACTTGGGTAATTGCCCTCTGCCGACCTAGATTCCCCCTTCACTTCAATTAGCCCTGGGATGTCATCACTTCCCACCCAAACTGGCCAGGAAGCAAGCACCACATCCCGGCAGGGCTGGTTGGCCTGCTACCTGGGGACTCCCATGTGGTCATCCTGCAGACCCGGAAGACAGGGAAAACCTGGGACTCCCTGCTGTTTGGGGGGGGGGGCGGGGCAATGAGAGAGGTCCAGAGCCAGGAGAAGCCAAGGCGTTGCCACTAAATGGTGCCTGCTCGCCGAGCCCGAAAAATGGGTGCCGACACGGGTGCCCCTTCAACACTGATCTCCCGTGCCCCTCCTCAGGGAACACCATCTCCATGCCCACAGCCTCAGGGGCCAAAAAGCGCTTCTGGATCATCGAGGACATGTCGCCCTTTGGAAAGCGGCGGAAGACGGCGTCTTCTCGTAAGATGCTAGATGAGGGCATGATGCTGGAGGGCTTCCGGCGCTTCGACCTCTACGAGGACTGCAAGGACGCGGCCTGTCAGTTCTCGCTCAAGGTCACGCACTACCACTGCACGCGCGAGAACTGCGGCTACAAGTTCTGCGGGCGCACGCACATGTACAAGCACGCACAGCACCACGACCGCGTGGACAACCTGGTGCTGGACGACTTCAAGCGCTTCAAGGCGTCGCTCAGCTGCCACTTCGCCGACTGCCCCTTCTCGGGCACCAGCACGCACTTCCACTGCCTGCGCTGCCGCTTCCGCTGCACCGACAGCACCAAGGTCACGGCGCACCGCAAGCACCACGGCAAGCAGGACGTGATCAGCGCCGCGGGCTTCTGCCAGTTCAGCTCGAGCGCCGACTGCGCGGTGCCCGACTGCAAGTACAAGCTCAAGTGCTCGCACTTCCACTGCACCTACCCGGGCTGCCGCCACACGGTGGTGGGCATGTCGCAGATGGACTCGCACAAGCGCAAGCACGAGAAGCAGGAGCGCGGCGAGCCGCCCGCCGCCGAGCCCGGCGCGCCGGTCAGCCTGGACGGCTCGCTCACGCTGGCCGCCGAGCCCGGGGCCTCGCTGCTCTTCCTGCAGACGGCCGCCGCCGGCCTGGGCCTGGCGATCGGCGACGCGGGCGACCCCGGCCCGCCCGCCACCGCCGCCGCCTCCACCGCCGCCGCCGCCGCCGCCGCCGCCAGCACGGCCGGGCCGCACGACAGCCCCGCCACCGCCGCGCCCGCCGCCGCCGCCGCCACCACCACCACCACGGCCGGGGAGTCCTCGCAGGACGACGACGACGAGGAGCTGGAGCTGCCCGAGGAGGAGGCGAGGACGACGACGAGGACGACGACGATGAGGACGACGACGACGACGACGACGAGGACGACGACGAGGACGACGAGGAGGAGGACCTGCGCACCGACTCGGAGGAGTCGCTGCCCGAGGCGGAGGCGGGCGCGGGCGCGCGGACCCCGGCACTGGCGACCCTGGGCGGCCCCGGCCCCGCGCCCGCCGCTGCCTCGCCCTAGCCGCCCGCGCGCGCCTCTCTCCACTGTCACTGTCGCCCTTGTTCCCAAGAACCGCTGTCTATCTGTGAAGCTCCCCTCTGTACAGAGCCCCGGCGTCCGCACTCCGGCGCGGCGGGAGGGGAGGTGCCCGCCCGGCCCCGCCGGTGCTTCCGGACCCCGAGTCCGTCTCAGGACAGAGGCGGGGACCCCTCTGGTGCTCCGGGCCAACCGCGCCCTCCCGCCCCGCCGGAACGCGCAGCTGGCGCTGTGATGGTCCCGCCCGGCTGAACTTGGGGGGATCTTCAGGGAATAGCAGGTGCTCTTGGCCGGCTGGGTGGGGCCAGGAGCCGGCACCTGCATCTGGCAGGGCCCCTTAATGCAGCTAAGACGCCCCTCCCCTGCCCCGGGGAGGGCAGGGCAGAAGGTGGTCAGCATGGGTGACACGACAGGGACGTCGAGGAAATCTCATGGGATTAGCAGTGAGCCCCCCCCTACCCCCACCCCCACCCCCGAGCTGCAGTCGGTTGTGTCTATCTGGTGACCTCCCTAGTGAAGTGAACCCAGGATGGGTCCCAACACAGGCGCAGCCCTTGGGTTGCTGGGGGCGGGGTCTCAGCCACCCCGGTGGTGCGAACAGGAAGGATGCGACTGTTTTTGGCTTTAATATTCAAAATGGGGAAAAAAATACAAGAAAGTTGTACAGTATTTTTCCTGTAAAGGCTATTATTCTACATAGAACAAAAAGAAAAAAAAAAAGCAGGTGGGCGGGAGCGCGCAGACCCGCCTCCGGACCAGCCCTGAGGTTGGAGAACTGAGTGCAATTTCTCCCGTGGGATTGTGTTTAGCATTTTAGAGGCCTTAACAGTTTGAGGCTGTCTGTCTTCACCCTAGCACTGATGGGAGCTGCGTGATTCCAACTTTTAACTTGAATTTTGTAGAAACAAGAAAAAAGGACTATTACTGTTGCTAGAAGTTTGTAGTTAATTTAACATTTGCATTTTTCTCTATTAGTTATGCGTGTGGCTTTATAGGGCTTTTTTTTCTTGTTGCTCCAGTTTGTTTTATTATTTTGTTTGGGACGCTTTCTTTTCCTGGTGCAGCCCATCCTGATTTGGTCCCCTTCCTGAAGGCCGTGAGACCACTAAGCCTGCAGGCACACTGGTGGGTGACTGTTACAGTCCCCGTGAGGGCCCGAGGCCCTGGTGTGTCAACCTCTGCACTCCAGGCCCCCAGACAGGGTCAAGCTGGAAGAGAACAGACACCAAGGATGGAGGGCTGGGGGCTGTCACCAGAAAGCCCCTCCCAAAGGTCTCCTAGGGGAGCTACTCCAACTGGGACAGTGGCTTTTTTTTTTTTAAGTGTGTGTGTGTGTGTGTGTGTGTGTGTGTGTGTGTGTTTCTCCTCTCAGCTGCTCATAGCAAGAAAGCCAGGCCCATCTGAACTGGAGAGGAGCAGGGCGGAGGAGTGGTTGGATGGTGTACCTGATTCAACAGGAAATAAACTGATTCCTAAACAGCCCCTACCAGAGCCTCCTGAATTCCGTGGGCACCACGTGCTGCTGCTGACCCGTTTGCCCAGACTGACCTACCACAGACCCTGCCTCTGTGCAAGGAGTTTTGTAAAAGGAAAACAAACATTTTTTCAATGTAGCAAATCAAAAAAAAAAAAAAAAGAAAAAGAAACCTCTGCACTCCAGGCCCCCAGACAGGGTCAAGCTGGAAGAGAACAGACACCAAGGATGGAGGGCTGGGGGCTGTCACCAGAAAGCCCCTCCCAAAGGTCTCCTAGGGGAGCTACTCCAACTGGGACAGTGGCTTTTTTTTTTTTAAGTGTGTGTGTGTGTGTGTGTGTGTGTGTGTGTTTCTCCTCTCAGCTGCTCATAGCAAGAAAGCCAGGCCCATCTGAACTGGAGAGGGAGCAGGGCGGGAGGAGTGGTTGGATGGGTGTACCTGATTCAACAGGAAATAAACTGATTCCTAAACAGCCCCTACCAGAGCCTCCTGAATTCCGTGGGCACCACGTGCTGCTGCTGACCCGTTTGCCCAGACTGACCTACCACAGGACCCTGCCTCTGTGCAAGGAGTTTTGTAAAGGAAAACAAACATTTTTCAATGTAGCAAAATCAAAAAAAAAAAAAAAAGAAAAAGAAAAAAGAAGATGCGACAGTGCGAAGTCTAGCCTTTTGTAACCTTCATATTGCACACTAGGACTCTAAGCCATTGCTAGCTCATTTTGAATTTTAATGTGTAATTGTTTTATTTTCTTTCTGTGGGGAAAACGATGCTTGATCCACCAATGCTCTTTTTAACGTTTTATAACTATGTATGTGTATATATATAAATATAAAATAATATGTATGCACATATGTGTGTATATATCTATATGTATATACATATATAGAGATATAGAGATATATAGAGAGGTTTTGAGACAAAAATGGAGAACATGAAACCGAACTGAACAGCGTGTGCTCTGATTACTTGAATCTGGTCTCCTCGGCACCTGGTTATTAAGAACTGAATATTTTTCCACTTGAATTTAGTGCTATTAGAAATTTAATATATGTGTTTTATTTATTTGATTTTTTTTTTGCATGACTGATGCAAGGTTTGACATTTTCACTCAATAAAAACTGGAAAAAAATTCCATCAAGTTATCTTTTATTTTAAAAATCACTCCGAAGTGGCTGGTTGTGACCCAGCTGTGTGAGGTGGTGCACACATGACCGGACCCCACCAGCCAAGGGAGGGCAAGAGGGAGTTGATCACCTTCAAGCCTGGCAGGGAAGAGGGGACAGACCAGTTTTGCCCCTTGGCAACAGGCCTGATTCTCCCAGAGGTTGCTGACAGAGGACAGGCAGTGGGGGGCTTTGGCCCTGTCTGGCCAGAAAAGTGGCCTTTTCCCACCAGCCCTGCCTGAACCCTGCTTAGAGCTCAGAGGCCACCCTCGGGCACGGCCATCTGGCAGTGAAGCCACAGGCCTTCTCAAGACCCCCACTCTAGCCAACCCCTCCTGTGCCATCCTACCAGGGATATGGGACCGACACTTGGCAGGCCACCCTTCTGCCCCCTCCTGTGCATGGCTCCTTCCTCCTTCCTGCAGGGACCTGCCCGGGCTGGGAACAGTGCGTACCCGGATCCAATCCGGATGCTGGCGAGGCTCCTGCCTGGAGCACGTGGTGGCAGAGCCAGAGGGGCCGATTCTTGGGTCTGCAGCCTCAAGGCCAGGGCCTGAGCTGCTGGTCCTGGTGGTATGAGGACTGGGGGGCTCCTTTGGAAGCTCAGGCAGCCCCCACTTACCCTGATGCCTCCCATCTGCATCATCTTGCTAGCCCCACCCTGAGTTGACCTCTAGGTGGCCAGAGCTGCCCAAAGCCCCTGGGAAGGGGCATGTACGGAGCCCACTCTGATCTTCAGTGCTGAGGAACATCACAATGGCTTGTGACACCCCTGCCAAAAGAGCACATCACATCCACTTTCTGGAGGGGTTGGAGAGATACAAGTATACCGTCCCCTTTGCTGAGCCTGGCAGCTTGGACACCAGCCACTGGCCAAGGACCACAGGGGAAGTGGCCTCTCCCTCAGTGCCAGGCTTGGTGTCATTTTTTACCACAAAGCCTTGTCTTTAGCCTAGCCTGGCGCAAAAGGCTCTTCCCTTTCTGCTTTTCTCCTGGAACGAGGCCCATAGGCTATTTACAGAAATATGTTTGTAGCAGACATGAAAATATATACTTTTTTGGTCTTATTAAAATGTTCAAGTTGGAACTCGCCTATTGTTTGTGGATATCTCAATTCTGTTAAATAAAACAGTGACTAATTTATGGAATAAAACACAAGTTCAACAAATTAAAACCATTATTGGAACTTCACAGGCCCTGGTGGGCCACACAGCCTCCCTTGGGGTTTGAGGGAAGGCAAGAAGCCAAGTCCCAACCTCAGCTGGTGGGGGCAGCTCTCGGACTCCTAAGGGCCCAGAGAAAGGAAGATGGGGACACAGAGAAGTTGGCTGACTTTGACTAGACCTCCAAATTGCTCCCTTCTCTCCTGCCCCCAAGACTTCTGGCCTAGATGGACCTCGGCGGTACAACATGCAGGTTGGAAGACTTGGCACTGCCCAGGACAGGTCCACTTTCCAAGCTGCCTCCTGACAGGCAGGGCCCAGGGAAGGGGCACTGGGTCTTGGGGGCCCTCCAGAGTTGCAGGGGAATGGGCTGTGCCTCTAGAGGTCAGAGGGAAGGGCCACACACTTGCACCAGGCTTTTGTGCCCACTCAGATGGTGTTGTACCCCTCACCCTGTCCTTAGAGCCGAGGGGAGCCTGCTGTGAGTGGCACCCTAATCCCAGGGTGCGTAGAGGAGTGGGCCTGGGTCCTATCACATTCCCTGTGGCTCAGTAGACTTGGTAGGAAAGGCAGTAAAACATGTTTTCATTCTGGGATTTAATTAGCTGTGTGATGCGATGCTTCTACACCCAAACTGGGGCAAACTCAAGAGTTTTGTAACCTCTGGGAAAGAGCCAGAAGCAGCTGTGCAGGCTCATGGCTGAGCTCAGTGGCCTGCCTCCTCCCCAAACCACACCAGCGGGGCGCTTCCAGCAATGGGAGCTGCCCACTGAAGCCAGTTTTCCTTCTAACCCAGGGAAATGCATATCCAGGTCACTGAGCAAGGTAGGCTGTTCATCTACTGAGGTGGCCCTGATATCACAGGTGGCCTTGGTCCAGGGCCAGGACGCAAGGGTGGGTGAAGAAAGCACTGCTCTCCAGGTCAGGCCTCTAATAACAGGGCCCCCCAAAGTGCTGAAATCTGGGGACCTTGCCAGAAGCAAAGAGGCTACCTGTGCCACCCTTGCTTGAAGCTGCCGCTCCAGGCCTGGGGCAGGTCAGACAGGAAGTGGCTTCCAGGAGGCCGCAGCCAGCACAGGAGGCAGCAAGTAGCTTGATGCAGCCAAACATAGCCTCTTAGCCTCCATGGCCACATCACCGCCCCCTCCCCCCGCCACCCCATCACTGGAGAGGGACCCCACTTCCTCACCAAGGAACTTCCTTTAGCCCTGCCCCAAAATTTCTAGCCCTTCATCCCTGCCCAAACCTCCATAGACAGACAGCTACACTCTAGGTCTACACAGCATCCCAGGAAATGGCAATGGCCTGGAGACAACTTTCCCAGGGCCACATGGCTAGGGTGAGAGGCTGGTCAAGTGTCAAAGGCACCCCAAGCTGCCATGGCTTGACTTACGATTCATTAGCTTTCAGTAGAAACAGTAAAGCTGTCTACTGGAGCAGGCCTTCCTCCCTGGGCAGCACAAGTCACTGGGCAAGGCAGGTTGTCCACCCTGTCCATTTGGCTCTTTTCCAAGACTACACCATGTGACCACTGAGGGAGGTGAATCCTCTCTCAATGACAGTGGCAATGGCAGCAGCTGCAGCTCCCAATCAGCCTTTCCATCGCCAGGAGAGACAACTAGAACTCTACAGTGTGCTGTGTCACTAAGCTTGGATGTTTGGTAGGTTAAGTGTGTTATATGCATTATTTTCAATTTGTAACCCATCACAAGTCAAGGAGCAGCTACATTCAAAACCATGCCCGTTGCTTCATTTACTTAATTTTTGCTTTGCTTGAGATGGGGTCTTGCTGTGGTGCCCAAGCTGACCGCAAACTCCTGGGCTCAAGCAATCCTCCTGCCACAACCTTCTGAATAGCTGGGACTAGAGGTATAAGCTATGATGCTATGAACCTGGCATCCAAAACACTTTAAGGAAAGACCTCCTGGGGCTGGTGGCATGGCTCAAGTGGTAGAGTTCCTAACTAGCAAACTTGAGGCCCTGAGTTCAAACTCTAGTACTTAAAAAAAAAAAAAAAGGAAAGGGGAAAGGTGAAAGGAAAAGGGAAGGGAAAGGAGGAAGAGAAGAGGAGGGAGGAAGTCCTCCCAGCACTTGCCATGGAGCAAGGAAAGGCTCAAGACTTCTCCTTATAAAGTTATAATGACCTCACCTCTTCTTGTAGGAGATCATGAAATGCTCAATGAAATGAACTATTAAGGTTTGTGTGTTGTAAAGTTACCCCAAAATGCTGGTTGAAATTTAAACCAGTCTTGATTAAAGTAGCACCTGACAGCAGCTGTGGCCAGGGAGCTGGGACTGTGGGCAGGAGCAGGGAAAGGGCAGGGGTCCCTGTGAGTGTGTGCAGTGCACCAGTGCCAGCTTGTGAGTGTGGAGCAGGCGGTCTCTCCCTGTCCATGGGGCCCTAGAGGTGTATGCTGAGATGCTCCCCTCAGCCAGATGGCAGCATGTCCCGGGGTGAGAAATACCTGTGCTGGACAAGGAGCAGGGCAAGAAGAGTGGCCAGGCCAGAAAGACCCAAATAGACTACCTGCAGGGTGCATGTCACCTGAGATGAGTGTTGAGAGTGTCTCTCCACCTGTCTGAGAGCCTCCACCATCTCCTCTGGGCGCCCTGCTGAGGCTGCTTTAGACACAGATGGAGCAGCACTAATTTGGCCTGTCCTTGGGTTCTGGGACAAGTGCCAGAGGAGGGACCCAGATCCCAGGAGCTAGCACCTCCATGCTCTGGGCTGGGCCCCAGAGTGGGCAGCAGAAAAAACCCCACTCCTGGATGGGTACAAGGACCCCACAGGTCACTCATAGTCCAGTCAATGGGCAAGTCACACAGAAATGAGGAGGGTCCATTTTTATTAAAAAACAGAAAAGGCAAGAGAGCACATAAACACAGGGCAAAACCGAGTGGTAGAGGTGGAAGGGGACTTTCTCTATTCCCCCATGTATTTTCTGGTTTCCCTAAACATTGGCTGTTTCCACATAGGAGAAAATCCAGCATTTCTAAGCAAAACTTAAAGCCCCACTCCCTGACCCGCACCCTCCCTTTCCCACCTGAAGGGTCCCAGGAGGATGGTCCCCTACTTGGCCTCCTCCTTGGGCAGCACAAGATGCCAAATGAGGACCCCTGCCCCTCCCAGACAGGATGCTGCTGCTTAAGGTAGACCCAATGAGTTGCCTGGCACTGGGGGTGTCCTGTCCAGGGCCGGGAGTGGGGGAGCCCTGCAGGGAAGTTAGGACAGCGGCCACAGCCTCCAAGCACTGGGGCTCCTCCTTTCCTAAACGACACTTTATAAAAAGACATTGTAATTGAGTTTAATAATGTACTCCCTTCCAGAAAGGGCCTGACAGGCGCTGCCTGCTGCTCACTTCTGCCCCATTCCAAATATTTTTACCTTATTTGGATAAAATGCATTATTTTTCTAATGAAAGGCTTTTTTCAAAGGGCCGTTTTCCCTCGTCCAGCAGCTGCCTTTATTAGGCAGCACTCATGCTGTTTTGGGGAGGGGTTTTTCTCTCCCTGAAGTCATGCCAGACTCGCTGTTCTCAAAAGCCGAACTCAGTGTTTAGGACCCGCAGGGGCAAAGGGCCTCGGGGTTCACATTTCCATCCCTTCTCCTCTGAGCTTGAGCCTAACCTTCCAGTCTGCTGACCCCCAGGAGGGAGAAAGCTCTGAAGTGAGGAACAGGGCTCCTCTCAGGGCCCCAGCTCTCAGGAGACATGGGGCAGAATGTCCAGGTCATGTCCAGCATTTTGCTCCCACCATCCTAACCCAGTACTCTGGCATTGCTTCTGTCCAAGGGCATCTTCCCTCTGGTCTCTCTTCCGGTCCTATTAGGAGGGACCTCAGAAGTTACAAATGACAAATGATAACTAGACCAAAGGAGGCTGTGATACCCCAGCAGCTTTCCCAGGCCCCAGGTATCCCTTTCACTGCAGCAGGACTGAGGCATGGCTGGCCAGCTAGAACCAGAACAGGAGCTAGATGCTCAAGAAGCAGTGCCATCAGCAGGAAGCAAGGCATCTCCTGGGGCTAAACAGCCCAAAGCCACACCCCTCAGCCACACTGGCATGTCTTCTTCCTTGCTCCCCAGGACAATGGCCAGGGGCCTAGGAGGCACACTGGAAGTGTGACCCCTGCATGGCTCCTGCAGGAGCCACTGGGTGCTCTCCATTTTCCAGACTGCATGTCCATATGAGCCACAGGGACATGGTGGTACCCATGGCCCAGGCCTGGCCCACACAGGGGCTGAGGAGCAGAGAGCCCTTTGGGAGGAGCTTCTTCCTGGCTTTCTGGTTTAAGCTCAGTGCTCTGTGAAGGTTACAGGGAGTCAAGGAGGGCGAGAGCAAGGAGACAGCAGGGAGAAGGAGACAGGCTCCTGGGGAATGCGCATCCATTTAAGGAAGGCGGCTCATCACGCTTGCACCAGGTCTATATACAGTAACGGGAGGCCCCTTCCCTCCTGCTCTCAGGGGAATGTCGCCCTCCACAGACACCAGGCAGGAGGAAGGAGCCCTTCCAGGTCTGGGTAAGCAGCCTGAGGCAGGGCCTGGAGAGGAGTGAGCAAGGGCAGCCAGGCTCCTGGGTCCCCAAGTCCCCCCAGGCCCTTCTCTGGGATTCACCTGGTGAAGCCTTAGCTGAGACCTACCTTGTGGGCATGGGGTACCAGCAGCAGACAGGGGGCCACAGGCAGGAATTAAATAGTGGCAGCTCATATTTATTACAATTATATACAGTCATAGCTTATATTTTGAAATCTATACATGGTCACACAAATGAACATGTGTTTTTCAGTGGCTGTTGATCAGAAAGGCCCTGTTGCCTGGCTCTGCCGTGGGAGCGAGAATCATGTCTTCTCAGGATTGGCCGAGCCATGATAGGCAAGCAAGGATGGTCAGAAGCACAGTGTGGTTTCATTTGTTGAGAGGATGACAGGGCATGTGGGGCTGGGGTGTGGACAGGTGCCCAAGGGTGGCATCTGTTAGGCAGAACCTGGCTGTGGGGCAGATGGACCCCAGTAGGCCTTTAAGAGGCAGAGCCGGTCCAGGATCTGTCTTTTGGAAACAGAGCAAAGAAGGAGCCACAGGCCAGGCACAAGGGACAGGGGAAATACCAGGAAACTGGGGGACTGAAGCTCCACCCTCACTGAGGAGGCAGGAGGCAGGTGATGACATGAGTTCTGGCCATGCACAGTGCCAGATTAGTCAAGACACTCAGCAAACACACCTGGACAAGAAGCCTGTCCCAGAGGGCCTGGGCAGGAGGTTGAGCACAGAGGCTCTGGCATCCTTGGCCTGGCTTGTGAATGGACAGAGCCACCTGGGCTGGGACTGAGCTAAGGAATGGTGGGTGTGGGTAGGGCTGGTGTCAGGGTGAGAGGAAGCTGGTGGACATAAATGTGACCCCACACACACTGCTGCAGCTGAAAGCAGCTCAGCCCCTCCCTAGGTTCAAGGCCACCCTCCCAGAGCCAGAGAAGGTAGGGCTGAAGCCAAATGCCCACCCACTGGTCAATGCCCCAGGGGCACTGGAGAGGTGGGTAGCAGGTGGGCGTGGGCCCTAGTCCCGCTCATTCTCATTGCTGGCGCCCTCTGGCCGCCGCAGCTTCTCCACCTGCTCATTGATCTGACCATCCCCGCCCCGGCGGTCCTCCCTCTGCACCCCCAGGACGTCCTCCTCATCCACGTGGCTCACATCGTCGTCCTCGTCCTCCTCATCCTCCTTGTCCTCCCTCTTCTCCTCCTCTCCCTGCACCTCCATCCTCACCTGGCCCTTGACGTCCACCACCCCTTCTCCTTCTTCCTGGGGGCCCAGCAGGTGGTATGTGGCTGTGGAACCCTCAGGGCTGTGGCTCTCCTTCCCAGGTGAGGATGACGTGGATTCATTGCTGACTGGTGAGATGTCACTGCTACTGTGGTGGTTCACAGCTGCAGGGCTGGAGGGTGACGGTGACTTGACTGGAATCTGCCAGGAAGGGATCTTCGGAGCCGATGGGGATGGTGGGAACTGTCTCCTGACAAAGAAAGAAACCAGCAGAGGTTGGTAACAGTGTCTGGCTCTTGCATTGCACAGTTCTTCCTTCCCTGAACCCCAAGAACTCAATGATGGGAGCAGCTTTCTCAGGGCCACTTAGTAAGAGAATGCAGACTCTCCCTCCCCTCCTGTCAGGAATAAAAGCCTCTTGGCCCACTGGAGGCTCCACCAGCCAAGACAGGTGCCAGAAGTGCCCTGTGCTGCCTATAGACCACCCTGCTGCACCTGAATGCCTCCCAATGTCCTGCCATGGATGAGGCCCACCTGCGTTGGCAGCTACTGGCCAGCTGGTTAGGGGCCTGCCGCACCCTAGAGCCTATTCCCTCCTTATCCCCAGCACTATCTCTGCCTTCACCCCTGTGGCTAGGACAGGGAGAAGGCAGAGCTGGAAGGGGATAAGACTGGAGACTCAAGACATCTGAGGCTCCACATCACTCCCCTGTCTATGGCCTGGGCAAAAGGTAGTAGTGGGGAACTCTGGCCATTGGCTAGAGCATCAGAGACATCAGGACCAAAAGGGTAATGCCAGCGCCCTTTGCTGGAAAATCTCTAGCCAACACTTTGGATGGACAACAGCCAGCTCTCCTTCCACTCTACTGTTCCTTTCCCAATCCTGGGTTAGCAGGTAGCCCCCGCCAGCAAAGACCTGGGAGGCTAGTCATCTTGCCATAGCTCAGAAGTGATGCTCTGTGCCACATGGGCCCCTCTGCTGGAACCAAGACAATAAGCCCTATTCCTGTCCAAGGCTGCCGCTGTCTCACCTCAGACCCTACCTCAGTGGGTTCACACCCTATAGCCTACATTATTCACCGGCAAAATAAATAGGAACAAGAAACTCAGTTTGCTGTTTTCTTGGCTCCTTTGTCATCTATGGTCTGTGTCTTATCCCTCCAGCCGCAGAGGAACTTATCTCTTAGACTGAAAAAAAGGGGAGGATTTCTTAGGCATACCTGTTTTGAGGACATGTTCTTTTCCTAAGGGGAGGCCAGGAAGTGGGTGGCTTGAAAAATTCAGTCCTCTAGCTGGGGCCACAAGGGCCCTCTACCCCTAAGGAGGCCCCAGTGGTGCACCTTAGGTACCATGGTCTTGCCTCACATAGCATTCCCTAAACCCCCAGCCAGAAGAGAACTGAGCGTAGGAGCAAAGCCTACAGGGCACTGCCCTGTAGGTGAATGACGACTCACCCCTGGTTCCCAGGACTGAGAAAACCAGAACCAGCTCATCACCCCGTGGCCAGGGGTGCTCTGGTGAAAATGTGCCGCCACGGAAGGGGGAGCCGGAGGGGGAGGTGGGACTATTCCGCTGATGCCTTCAACTACAGACCCTCCCACTCAGTGGCCTCAGTGTGACTTTCTCCGGAACAAAGCTGTTACTGAGTGGTTGCTGGGCTCCAGGACCTTCTACTTCAAGAAAAGCCACACACTTGGCATGCTCTTCTGCTTGCAGGCACTGCTTTTTGCCTCATGTTGTCCCTGACCAGGTCTGCCAGGCCTGGGGAACAATGTGTGGTTCAAAACTGTCACCCTGGAGTGGGAGGACACTTTGTGGGGGAGGGAAAATATGAGCTCAAAGGTCCCCAAGCTCAATGTCTGAACTGCCCAGCTCAGTGAAGAACTGGACATGGGTCTTGGGAGCCGCACCCACCACCCCCTAACTGCTGGTCCAGTCCAGGAGCTCCTGCTGGCTGCCCAGCCTGAAACTGGGCAGGACAGAGCCCAGAGCCTTCTCTCCTACCGATTTAAAAGAAGCCCTTTCAAGGAGTTAATTTCCGACTTGAGTTCATTGATATTCTGTGACTCCAAGATCCAGTTGGTAGATGTGGTGGCCTGAAAGTTAAAACATAGGGAACATGGGTCAGAGTTGTGCCTTCTACCAGCCCGGGTGAGTGGAGTGAGGCTCAAGAGGACCCTGGCCAGGGACAGCAACATCTGGGCACTGTCTGTTCTGCTCTGCCATGCCCACTTGGGGGTGCACCTGCCTGTGATTACACCCCTAAAACAAATATTATACAACTTTCCTAGGTTATCTGCTAACATTAAGAGGCCATTACACGTGTTCTGTGCCTATAAAAGGAACTAACCACAATAAGCCCTTATCTCTCCAACAGACACTGAGGTTTGTCTGCAGCAGGAGGTGAGATGACACTTGCTTCAGCTGTGAAGCACCCTCCATTCTTGGGAGTGTCTGAAATGTCCAGTAAGACAAAAAAAAAATAAATAAAAAATAGAAGACAGACACAAAACACCTCTATGCCAACTGCTCCCTCAAGTTCCCCCATCCCAAGAAATCACCACCACATGCAGAAGTAAACATGAGGGCTGAGAGAAAGCAGCTGCATGGCTGGACACTGGCAGGTACAAAGCCTGGAAGTCACCTCGGAGTTCTAGGGAGGCCAGGGGCACCTGAGTACCTGACCATTCTGTAGCTCTGACCCTGAACAGGCTGAGAAGGCAGCTTCACCCCATAACGTATTCTCTATGCTGCTCAGGGTTCTGGCTTCTGGTTCTGTGAGATCACAGAACCAGCTCCACAGGGCCATGGAAATATCCCCTGAATGCACCCCACTGTTTGCAAAATCACCCATGGGCCACATTACCCTATCACATCCACTCTTTGGGACAATCAAGGTTGAACAGAGAGAAGTCACTTAGGTCCTGACCTTGACCCTTTAACCAGAGAGGGTCCAAGACAGATATCTTCCCAGTGTCTCCCAAACAAGCCTCAGAGTACCACATCTTACTCTTGACAAATCCTGTCAGGATCAATGAAAAAGAGGAGGGCCAAAACAGTAGTCTCCAAATGGGAGCTGGAGGTGGCCAAGCTGCCTGCGGCAGGGATGGAGGTCAGTTCCAGGCCTGTGGATGCATCTGCCAGGCTGGAGGCTGTCCCCAGTTGTTTTCAAGCACATGGATAATTGGGCCAGGCTCTTGCTTCCCTGATATGCCGCTTCCAGGCTGGTGGGGGAATGTCCCAGGCTCTTCCCTGCCAGCTGCTGTGGGTCTTTCAGATGCAAGGTGGGAGACACTGCAGGCTGTGTGCTGGGTACACAGGGAAGGCAGAAGCCCCACCAAAGTGGCTACAGGTCTCAGGAAGGAAAACCTAGGCAGTTCTGGCGAGAGTGGACATGCCCATCCCCTCACACACTTTCCTATGGGGTCCCCTACTCCACACCACCAGACAGGGAGGGCCTGGGAGCCACTGTTCTGGCTTCTCCAAGACCTTGAAAGCTACAGCAGCCCATTAACAAGGGAGCAATTTCCACTCACCGGCCTACAAAGGACTCAGATTTCCAAACGCATATGGTGCCAGATGCCAGGATTTAGAAATAAAATCTGACATCTGGGGCTTTTTAGCCAGTCTCTTTAAAAAACAGTTGTAGAAAACTCACAGCCTTCAATTTTATGTAGGTTTTTTAATTACTTAAAGCTCTTCTTTTTAATTTTTTACAGTGCTCCAGTAGGAGTTTGGAAAGCAGATATAAAAACTTACATTACAGCTGAGAAAACACAGCTCTGAGTCTTTGGTTTATAGGGTAACCAAAGTCCTCACACACATGGGTTTGGATGCCAGGCCGGGAAGCCCTGCTTCAGCAAGGAGAAGGGAAAGGGGCGGGGATGTGGGAGCTGTGAGAACGAGGAACTCCAAGGTCATCTCTGGCACCGGTACCAGCTGGCTCCGCCCTCTTCTTAAAATGCAACATGTGGTCTTCATCTTGATGCTCAGGGCCTGAAAACACTTTTCCAATTTCCGGAATGGCTGCTGGCCATTGGCAGGCCACAGATACAAAAGATAATAGAGCGGGGTGAGGGTCACAGCATGCCTTCCCTGCTGCTTTATGGCTGCCTGCAGGGAACATGCAATGGCTACAGCCAGTGGCACCCCAGCCACTCGAGCAGGAAGTGAGGCATTGCCTTCATGGGATGGACATGAGAGAGGGGGCTACTGGGGACCCTCTCCACAAGTGGCTCCCCAGACTTCACTGGAGGTGGAAAGATGTCTTGTAATCCAATTGGGCGCTGCTTCTCCTACGACAGAAGCTCGGTGAGCCCCTTTAGAGGATGCTCTGGAGCCACCGTCACTATGCCCTGTCCTGTCTGTCCAAGTCAGCGCCTCAGGAATGACGCTGTCACATGCCCCAAGAGCCCAGGGCCTGCAATCCTGGGCACTGCCAAGAGCCAGGCACCACTCTAAGAGCACAAACAGCCCTACAAAGTAGGTACCATAACAGGCCCATTGAGTGAGGATTTGAACCCAGGCAGACTGATCCTACAACCTGATACTGAAAGATTAGTTCAGTTTTGGGCAGTGAGGCACGGAAACAGCTTCAGTGGATCCTGGTTGGCTCCAATTCCTTTTAGAAACCCAAGCCTGTGAATCTCAGGTAGAGAAACTGCCCACTGCAAAAAGGTAATCTCAGTGCTTGGGCAGGGCAGGTGCTGATAAACTGACAACAGCACACTCCCCTCATCCCTGGACTCCTCCTCGGTGAGGCTGTAACCTGCAACCAAACTTGCAGGCAGAGACCATCCCAGATCTACAGCGATGGCTTCTAGAGCTACAGGGATGTGGCTGGCATCAGGGGTCCACTGGCAGAGGGGGGCTTTCCTCTCTCCTTTTGGGAGGTGGCACAGGAAGGAGAGCCTCAATGGTTAAATGCCACACCAAGTACACAGTAACACCTCCCTTCTTTATGGTGACACCATCATCTGATGTGACACCATACAGCAGGTAGAAGAGAGAGTCAGACCCACAGAAGATAGCACATGGGGCCCAGAGGACCAGGGTTCAGAGCTGTGCAAGACAGACCTGGGCCTGGAGACCCAACGGCTCAGAGACAAGTACCTTGGCAGTGGCCAGATCATGGGCCAGTTCCTGGACCTTCTGCTGCTGCTGTCTCAGCAGCTCCTGGACAGAGGCCAGCGTTGTCTGTACCTGAGTCACTGGGGAAGAGAGCATGGTATCTGGTAAGTCAGTGTCCATGTTCCCTCCTCAGCCCACACACCTGTGAGTTGCCTGCATGTCTGCTATACCCAATTTATCTGCAGGACCCCGCCACCCAGACAATTTATCTGCACTCAGGTAATCTACCTGTGCTGTATCTAACCTCTAGTATTTCTACTTCATCTTTCTATTGTGTGGTTGTCCATGGTCAACAGTATATCCGTCCAAAACCTCTCCCTTCTAATTATGCCTGGCTGTGATGTGCTTGCCTCTAACAGCTCCTATCATGCTGGCATCACTCATCTCACAGGCCTCACTGTGTCCTTGGGAGCTTGAGGATGGCCCCAATCCCGGGAGGGCCTCAGCTCAGGCCTCTGCCATGTCTACCTCAGGTTGCTTGCTGAGCCCCTCCCCAATGTTACAAGACCCCTGGGTCTATGACCATCATGGCAGCTTCCTAGGGGCAGCTGCCAGCAGGAAGGATTCACCAGAGGATTCCTGAAGGCTTCAGAAAGGTGTGCTGAGGGACAGGGACTCCTGCCTGGGACAGGTGGCTCTCTTGCCTGCCTCAGAGTTTTCGATTCCTAGCCTCCACCTAGTAAACATATTTATAAAGGAGAAAAGCCACCGCTGGTGCGACAGGTCCCAGCTAATATGGGCCATCTCTGGGGCAGCGGGTAATGAACACCAGCCCTGTGGAGTCGATAACAGAGGAGGTGGCTGGGGTCCCAGGAGCCACAGTAATTACAGACTCTCTTGACCCTGTGTTGGATTCTTCGAGGGAAGGGGGAAAATCACTGAAAACCCCCCTGAAAACCTCATAGAAGCAGAAATTAAAAATGAACTTTACAGCCCTTAGAAAGGCTGTCATTTTATTCCCCTTATTAATATTCTGAGGTTGGGAGCCTTTCCGTAAAAACATAATTAATTGAGGCCGCGCCGACAGTAAACAAGCAATTTCAAATTAAACCGAAATGACGGCGGCTTCATTTGCAAATGTGAACAGATTCTCAGAGCAGATAAATGAAGTCACCACATAAAGTGGAGACGGAGGGAGAGGGGAGGGGCCGCGAAGGGGCTGCGCAAAGAAGGCTTTGAGGGGTGACTTGATGGAGTCATTAATCTTTACCTGTCTGGGCCACGCTGCCACTCAGCTCAGAGAGACTCGCAGCCATCCTCTCCAGCTGCTTCCTGTCCTCGCGGCCTCCTAGGATGAGGGGCAGCAGGTACTTCTGCAAGAAGCAGATGGGTGAGGATGCTGTACACTTGGGTTGTCCTGTGTTGGTCTCTCAAATCCCAATGCCCAACTTTCTCTTGTCCTCCCCTGGGTTTTGGACTATCCATCAAACCCTGCATAAGGTGCTTAAAAAAGTTATGAGATTGAAATTAGGACCATGTAAAAAATGACAACAAGGACAAGAAAGGAACAGGGAAAAGGAAAACCAGGTGTCCCAGCATCCACATGTTGGAGATGGAACTCAGGGCCTTGCCCAAACTAGACAAGTACTCTACAACTGAGCCAGCCCTAGGAAAACCAGTGTGGTCTGCTGGGAGGGAAATTTGTTCATCTTTTATATATTTTTCTCAGCAATGCTGTAATATTTCTATGACAACACTTTTTTATTCTACTTTAAAAGTTCTAAGAAGAAATTGTGGAAGGATGTACAAGAAACGGATCCTGTTGTAGCCTCCAGGGAGAAGCAGAAGGGAGCTTTTTAGCATACACTTTTTTGAACCCTAGGAATGAAACAAATTGTTTCGCCCATTCAGAAACAAATGACTAAAATTAAATAAACAAAAAATTACTTGAAAAAGGAAAATCAACCACAGACTTTTGGAACCCTTGGTTCTTCTATGAGAAGAAACATATATCACTATTCCCAGGCTGCTGAAGAGGTTCCTTCAGCCTTTTAAATTAAACCTGAGTCATCAGAGCAAGCTTCCTTCATAGAGCCCGAAGTGACCCAATTCCCTCAGAACTGAAAGAGCAAAAGGAGAAAGGGCCCAAGGGACAAAGAAAGCTGCAGCTACAGGCTACAGGGCCACCAGACAAGGGAACCTAGAACTAGCCCCCAGAACATTTGGGAAGGAGGTGGCAGAACAGTTGGTAACTAACCAACTGATGTGTGAAAGGACAGAAGTAAACAAGAGGGCACTAGTAGAGCCTGATGAGAGAACATGGAGACAAAGCCCCATCCTAGTGAAGTGAGACCCACCACCAACCTGCAAGGGCAAGGCTGGAGTAAGCACAGTGCAGGCCCGGCAGATGCTACAGGAGGATAACTCTGGTTATCTATTTGGGCTCCAGACAGGGGGGAAAAAAAAATAAATAAATAAAACAGAAACTTCTCCATTAAGGGCTCAGTACTGGGGAAGGAAAAGGTCTCTCACAAGGGGTTTGTGGGAGAACTCATTTCAAAAGTGATTCCTAAGTGAAGACCATCATTAAACATATGTAGAGAAGCATTTTCTATTTTGCAAAGTGCTTTTCAGCCACGGTGTGAGTTATTACTCACAACTAAACCAAAACTCATCAAATGTAGCCTGATGTTTCTGGTAGAAAATTTCCTGAGTATAAAAGTCAAGAAATTCTCTTATGTGTAACCAACTACCAACTCCATTTCTGAGGTCAGAAGTGACAGGGAAGGAACAGATATGCCCCACGGCCTAAATCTGTGTGTATGTATAAAATAAGACCAGGGCTTCTAACCACCTTTTTTTTTTTTTTTTTTAAATTAAAAGAAACTGTTAGCAGATGTTCTAGAAATTCTTGTGTCACCATTGTGACTGACACTTCAATGTTTCTTATCTTTTTAAAAACAGGAAAGTGACCATAGCTGGATGGAGACAGATGACAGCTCTGGGGCAGCACTGATGACCAGGTGCTGCTCACTCGTTTGAGAACTTTGTATTGGTGTCATACTTCTTGTGATCTGTCTATGGCCAGTGATTTGAAAGACGCCATCTACACACAAGGCACTGGAAGGCATCAGCTCGGAGGGAGAAGTCCTGGGTTTCAGGACATTTTGCATCTGAATCTCTGCATGGAAATTTCCAACTCCAGCAGAAGATTTCACACTAAAAAATCTATTTGGCTACACACATCATTAGTTTTTTTTTACTAAGTCAAAGACTAAATCCCAGAATGCAAGGCTTAAACACATTTCATGTGCTAAAAGTTACAAAGGCCAACCTGGGATTTCATTGAGATCCTTTAAAAAAGTCACCAATATGGGGTTGAGGAGCAGGTAGCCTCAGAAGAGAAAGTGGCTTCTCTTCAGGGTGAGCAGATCTGCTCCTGAGGGCTGACTCATGTGGCCCAGAGAAAATCCCACATTTCCACAGATGCTCACAATCCACAAGAGACAAGAAGTGGATTTCATAAACATGATCACAAGAGGTTCTCCAAGTTGGCTTTAAGTACTAAGGTGGGACAAGAGGTCTTCTGCACGTCCTACAGGAGGTGTAGTTGTAGGCTCCTCACACAGCTGACCCACTCCTCTGATTCTCTCAACAACCTCCTGAGGTAGGCTGTAATGTTCCTGACCACAGAAAGGGTTATATCCTGGTAACTTGCCATTCATCAAAATGCATTCAATATGCCTAACCCATGGAGCCTTATAGCTCTCAGGGGCAGAGTAAGGTTCAAACAAGCAGCTGGGCTCCAGTTGCCATGCTTTTAAGTGCTAAGTTGTTTTGTCCCTCACAAATTTACATACTGCTTGGGCTCCAGTTGCCATGCTTTTAAGTGCTAAGTTGTTTTGTCCCTCACAAATTTACATACTGCTTACTATGTGCCAAGCACTGTTCTAAGTACCTGACCTGGACTGTAACAGACAGACCTCAAGGTCTGTCTCAGGGTGGATAGATATGAGCAGGGGGTGGGGGACTGTGCTTGCCAGGTTTTCCCCACTATACTCTCCACCTTCACCACAGCCACTGCGCTCCAGGGCTATGCATCTGCTGAGGAGCAGTGTGGGTTACCTCCGTGCAGGTAAACCAAAGACCAGGAGAAAGGGTCCTAATGGCAAAGGATGGCAGAGAACAGCACTTGCAGCCCTTAGGAAGATACCTTACCTTGTAGAGCTGGTGAAAGCCAAAAGCAATTCCTGCCATGATGATGGCCAAGGCACCGTAATCTCGCCATCGGGAACCTCCAGGGCCTGATGGTGGAAAAAGAAAGTTAGGAGGGGCCCCCATAGTCCTTCCCTGGGGAGAGGTCAGCATGTGCCTCAGTGGATGGGCAAAGGACACAGCATAGAATTGTCAGCTTTGTCCCTCCTCTTCCTTCCCAGGCTCTCAGAAACATCTGCCTCATTTGGAATGGAAGTGACAGTCAGACACAGGATGGTACACTGCTGGGTAAAGATGTCCAGCACTGGGTAGAGGTGATGTGAAGACCTATGATGTCATCTTTATGTCAAGGGACAAAGGATCTAGAGAGGATGACGTGAACAGACTTAGGTGTGCATAACCACACCTATTCACACCCTCCTACAGACAGGTATAAACCACCACAGACCAGGATATGGGAGACTGATGAACTGGACCTCTCTGCTCTGCTTTCACTTTGAGCAGTAAGAGAAGACACAAGCCTACAAAGGACTAAGCAAGGCAACTTCTGAAGTGATAGGGCCTATCAAGCAGGGACATGCAAGTTTCCATGTTTTTAAGCACTAAGTTGTTCTGTCCCTCACAAATTTATACAGTGCTCATTATGCACCAACCACTGTTCAACTACTTGAACTACAACAGATGCGCCGCAAGATCATCGTGCAAATGGAGATTCCAGGGCAGGTTGATACATGCAGAAGAGTGGGTATCTGCAGGGGAAAGGGGCCAGGGGTCAGCAGGGCTTTGGAGGAGGCAGAGGCCCAAACCTGCAGTCGTAAGGGCAGACAAGGACCATGTGCAAAGGGGAGGTGGGTCAGTGTGGACCAAGTGAGTACTCCAGGCCTTGGCAGGAGAGGAGAGCTGCTCTGGCCAAGAGATTCAAGGAAGGCACCCAGGAGAAGACAGCATCAATTACACCTATGGATGCAGTGGACCAGAGGGTAGGACAGATTGGGTTAGGAGCCTAAACACTATTTTATAAGTAGTGGGGAGTCACTGAAGACTTTGGATGAGGGAATGCCATGATCAGATTTCTATTTTAAGAGAAGAACATTGGAGTGGCTCTGAGGCAAACTAGAGGTAAGAGGGCTGCAGAGGCAGGAAAGCTGGGGAGGCTCCTGCAAGGGCCATAAAGGCAAAGAGGGGCCAAGGAATGGAAACCCGAGACATCTTGGAAAAAAAATTGTCATTTTTAAGGAACTGGAAACAGGCACCTAGTCTTCACATGGGAGCAGGCTCCTGGCCTAGTTCTCTTCAGACCAGGACATACAGTGCCCCCTACCCCCACCCCTTATCTATGGTTTCTCTTTCTGTAGTTTCAGTTTCCTGTGGTCAACCACAGTCTAAAAAATATTAAATGGAATACTCAGAAAGAAACAACTCTTAAGTTTTAAAATTTTAATTCATAAGTTTTACCATTCTGAGTTACATGATGAAATCTCAGCCAGCTTGCTTTGTCTCATCCAGTATACACACTCTGTATATGCTACCTGCCTGTTAGACACTTAGTAGCCATCTTGGAAATCGGACTAACTGTCTTGGTATCACAGTGCTTGTGTCCAAGTGACCTTTATTTTACTTAATAATGGTCCCAAAGCCGGAAGGTAGTGATGCTGGCAATCCAGATATGCCAGAAAAAAAGCTGTAAGTGCTTTAAGCAAAAAGGTGGAAGCTCTTAAAATGCAAAGAAAAAAATTATATGCTGAGGTTGCTAAGATCAATGGTACAATAAAATATTTTGAGAGAGAGAGAGACAGTACACTCTTATAACTTTTATTAAAGTATATTGTTATAATTGTGCTAGTATATTACTAATTATTGTTCTTACTGTACCTAATTTATAAATTAAACTCTATTATAGCTGTATATGTATAGGGAAAAAATAGTACATATAGGGTTCAATACTATCCAGAGCTTCAGGCATCCTCTGGGAGTTAGGGGGAGTCTTGGAATGTATCGCCTATGGATAAAGGGGACCGGTATTACCTAAATCCCCACAATTCTACATGAAATTCTAGTTGCACACGAGAGATGAGTTCCCTACTTCACAGCCTCCCACTTGGCACCAACTCTCTCCATGACTCTGTAACTGCTATCTCCAAGTCACCTAGCAGGCATTTTTTCTCACCACAGTCTCAGGATGTTTGGTGGTGGGGACCACACACCAGCTATGGAACAAATGAGGTACAGTGCAATAGAAAGTTGTCCAGAAGGCACCCGACAGGTAATCATATTGGAGAGAGGCAAGTTGCCCTGGAGCTGAGTCTGGAAGAAAAGTAGGGAAGAGAGGGCCAAGGGCATTCCAGAAACCCTCAGAAGGAGCACCATAACTCACCAAGTCAAGTTGATGGCCTCGAGGCTTTAGAGAAACCCAACTGTTCCTGCCTTTTCCTCTGGCTTGTGCCTGCAAGCTCTCTGAGGCACCTGTCATCACCTGGTGTTTCATGACCAAAGGAGAGGAGCAGGACCATTCTTTTAACTCAGTGGCATGTATGGGTGCACACAGAGGAGAGGCCACCATCATAAAGCCTGGCCAGGGTATTCAAATCACAAAGACCTCTCTCAAAGTGGGCAACAGGGATACCCTCTCCTCCCTGGGCCACTAAACAGGGCTCTCAGGAGGCCAAGAGTCTCTCCTAGACTGCAGCAAGTTCCCATGTCTCCTACAGATTCCACATAAGACTCCCCAGAACATGGCCCAGCCCCATATTGGTCACAAAACTGTCATCAACATATGGCCTCTGCCAGCCCTCAAATCCCATTATTTTGTTTTACATATTTTGAACAACAGAAGTCAGTCTACTGCCAAAAGGCATCCTCTACCACCAATACTGTTAATAGTTTCACATTTATCCGTAACAGAATTTTTATGCACATATAAGCAACAGAAATATATCTATTTTCCTTCTCTCTACTACCCCCCACCACCATCTCTCAATCTTGTTTTCTACAGCTTTCTAGTAGTATTCCATTTAACCTACTCCCTTCTGATGGGCATTTAGCTCATTTCCAGTCTTTTAACTATCACACACAGAGCTGCCATCAGTGACTATGCACACTTGTCAGTTCCCATACAGGAAATCTGCAAACCTAAGAATTCCTAGGGGCACGGGTCAGAACATAGATGCATCTGTAATTTTGAGAGATACTGCCAAACTGACTCCATGGGGACTCAACCAATCCATCCCACCAGTCACAGTGCCTATTTCCCCCACAGTCACTCTGACATAATGTGTTAATCACACGCAAGATTCCTGCCAATTCGACAGTGGGAAAACAGTACTTCCTTCTGGTTCTGATTTACATTGGTCTTATTTTGAATGAGGACTGAGCATCTTTTCACCAGTATTTCCTTTCCAGTGTACTGTGTATTCTCCAGTTTTTTACTTTTTTTCAGTGGTACTATAGCCCAAATCCAGGGCTTCATGCATACTAAGGCAAGCACTTTACCACTGAATCACACCACAGCTCTCACTGTTGAGAGACTTTTTATATAGAAGAGATATTAGCTTTTTGTGATTGATTATAAACACCTTCTTCTGGTTTCTGCCTATGGTCTTTTGTGGCCTGCAGACAGTTGTTATGTTTACATATGTATCGATCTGTTCTTTGTGGGTTTGTGTTAGTGAGAATGCTCCCACTCCCTTCCTAGGCTGTATGGTGACATCCAGTGAGGTATTCATCTCTAAGAAAACATCTTACAAGGGTAGAGCACTGCTTGGCCCTGTCATGGACATTCCCATGTGATGCAAATCATCTCAACAGGAAACTCTGAAACCCCTAGAGTACATGAATCTTTCAACTTGATCCTGGGACATAGGACCTCTGAGTCCTGCTCAGAGGCAGGACTCTTTTGTTCCCACTGTCTCTTCTAGCCAAGTTTGCTCTGTGTGCAAGACATAAAACCCAACATCTAGTGCAAGTTCATTTTCTAGGGAAAAGAGAAGGCAGAGTGATCTTGCACTCTGTGAGAGGGTAGTGCTCAGGATGGCCTTAGCCCACACTCAAACAAAACACTCTCAAAAAACATTTTCAGATGGTGCCCACATTCAGCAAATCACACTTATCACTGATTCTTAAACACCCAAATACCCACTGAATATCTTACAAAGAAGTTCTAACTGGGCAAAAAAATTGACTCACCTCAAGTTTGCTGGATCTTCTGTTTCCTTGCAAACACATCTATCGCTCTTGAGAAGCATAACCTTCTCCTGCTAAGGCTGGGCAAATGCCACAGTTCAGAGATCCAGGACCAGCACCCCGTGCAGCTGCCCACCTTGCCAGAGCTCTTCCCCAAGTCTAAGGAAACACCTGTGGTTCCCTGCCAACTCACCCTTCACCCCTCACTGCTACTCCATTCCTGCCAGGCTCACGTTAAGAACATTTTATTGCCCCTTGGTTTTCATTATTAATGAAAAGGAACCAGAATGATCTTTCCTAAAGTTCAGAGAGTCTATAAAGACAAGAAGCTGAAATGCCATTTTACTCGTTTTGGAGATGTGTGATACAATTCTATCTTGTGGCAAAATGAAGAAAGAGAAAAACTCAGCTGGAAATGCCTCTTATCCACTGCACCACTTTCAAGGGTGACAGAGTAGGCTACTGCAAATTCTGGGGCTCCCAAACTGGCTCACACCTCCAGCCCCACCACCTGGACTCCTAGAGGCAGGAGGCTTCTCTGGGGCTGCGAGGGAGCCAACGACAGGGCTTCTGGGGCAGTGGACTCTCCAGTCACTGTGCTCCCACTTCCAAGGGAAGAACACAGGGCCAGTCACTCTTCTGCTCCAGAAGGAAGTAAGGAAAGTGGGATGAGTAAGACTTTTTAATTTTTTGAGACAGGGTCTTACCATATAGCCCAGTGTGGCCGCAAGTCAAGATCCTCCTGCCTTAGCCTCCTCCCAAGTCCTGGCAATGTGGTGGTGTGTGCCTGCAATCCCAGCACTTGGGAGGCCTGAGCTATACAGCATGATCAAAAAAAGGAAAGAGAGACAGAGAAATGGAGGAAAGGAGGGAAGAAGGGAGAGGAGGGAGGAAGGGAGGGAGAGGAGGAAGGAAAAAAAAGGAAGGAAGAGAGGGAAGGGAAGGGAAGGAGGGAGAGAGGAAAGGAAGGAAGGTAAGAAGGAAAAAAGAAGGTAAGAAGGAAGCAGAACTTCCCTGATACTGGCCTGCCAGGTAGATCAGGCAGAAAAGGGGCAAGAAGCAGGGGTCAGAGATTTCAGGACCATATTTCTGACTCTCAGAGATGTTTTTCTCTGCCTTTCCAGCACAGGTCACTTGACTGCAGGTGACAGAGCTTTGCTACTCCCACAAACCCAGGGGATGACATTTTTACTTCACTTAGATTCAGATTCTCTGGCTGAATGGTATAGCTCTTCACCAACTACATTCTTGGTGTCTTTGTGAAGAACAAGGGACAGGTGACTGTGACTGTGATGGCCAGCCTACACAATTGAGCATTTCTGGGATTATTATGCCATAGGCTGTAACGAGGTCAGAGATCAAACTGCTGTGGGGAGAAA